ACGCTCTTCAGAAAAATGCTAGCAACTTTCCTTGTGATGTATTTGAAACAATACTCTCTTCCTCTCAGTTTCTTCCTTTTATAACTTTTAATTGTATAAACCAGGAAGAACTAGTTAAACTAATTATAGTAAGATAACGCACATTTTTACAGTGTTTGAAGTTCATCAATGTATGCTTCGTGTTTATTGTCGACAATCCTTAACTGTATTTATTTGAATAAATTTATCCTGCTGTTTACATTTTATGACTCTCTCTCTCTCTCTCTCTCTCTCTCTCTCTCTCTCTCTCTCTCTCTCTCTCTCTCTCTCTCTCTCTCTCTCTCTCTCTCTCTGAAATGTAAAAGTTGAAAAGAAGAAACAGTGATTGATCTTAAAAAAGATCTACAATACAAAACATTTTCAGAAGGCTTAAAACCCAAAAATATGTAATTTTACTTGACTTCCCTTTATTTTATATTCTGTATTGTTCTTTACATCAAGTTAACAAACCATAAAACCTTGATAATTTGTTCTTTAGCAGATAACCATATATAAATGAATTTGAAATACGTAAAAATTGTCATCGCTTTGTCCAGAGAGGCACATTTTCCAATTGGGCAAGGAGTATCTAAACCGTTGTTGGATTACCAAATGTGTCGCTCTAAATAAACATACGATCTGTTCTACTCTACATACTTCTTTTGTCTAATGTTAAAATTGATTCAAATTAATCAAATTAATTTACTTAGTTTTTTTTTTTAACATTTTACGTGCATATTCATTTAATGTGTACTCAAATGAAAGCAATAACTACCTTTGTCATTATATTGTATAATGTAACTTAAAATCGAAAAGAAATGCTTCAATAAGACAAAATGAAACTCATTTCCCATTATCGGAAATCTTTTTCTGTCAGAACACGGAGCAGAGCGAAAGGTGTGTTTCTGGATATCAAAACCATAAATTTTTTATAGGTTTTTCGTCATTTTTTGAATTGAAATGAAGTTTTTCCATACACTCTTTTCTAATCATTTTTAATCAGTTATCAGCTTTAGTGTAGTCATGTAAGGAAACATGCCATACGAGATAATTATAATTTCTGGGGATCCATTGTTTATTCCTTGATCAAAGATTTGTATTCTTCTTTTTTGGAATTTGATTACTTTTTTTAATTGGGAGATGTACTAGAATTGAGACAAGAGGCCAATGGGCCACATCACTCACCTGATCATTATGGCTAGTAAAAAAGCAGACATTATTTCATTATTGAAAAGTTTAAACCCAAAAGTGGTCCAAACGTATCTCCCTGTGGCTTTACTGCCCTTTACATTTGAACTTACAATGTGACCCCCCCCACTAAAGTATGACCAATCATGGCTTTGTTTTCCTTGAAAATAAAACTAAAATAAAAACTCCCATTTTATAAAATCGACGAATAAAATTAACAGAATATCAGTACACTTGTCTATGAATATAAACTTCTAAAGAAATAAAAAAAAAATACATTTATTGTTGTTCCAAGTTTATCGACGAAGCCTGTGCTTTTTTAGTAGAGATTCGATCTGTTCCATTCAAACAACTTTTCTCAGATTATTATTAATCTTGTAAATACGTTTGTGTGTACATATTTCTTTTTCTTTTTTATTGTCAATATACAATATGTTTCTAACGTAACATGATATAGCATGTAAACTATTTGTGTTGTAAAATCTCTGAGGAGAGGAAATAAAGATGGAGAGAATGTTATTCTTTGAGCAAAACCCATTTGGTTTTACATATACGAGGGTCATTCAAAACGTTCGTAGACTTTTGTCCTAACTTTTTTATTTAGAGTCCTATTATATCCAAATTTGGTACACATAATTTTACAACAAATTCAAATAATTTGAGTTAAAAAAAATTGGAATATATCTTCATATTTAAATCAATTATCTTAGATTTTGAACAGCAAAAATGGGATCATGGAGCAATGTCAAAATTGAGTTTATATTTACAAATGTTCACTTTACAGTAGCTATAGCCATTACTCTAATAAATATAGCTGAAACGAAATAAAATTTACACGTTAAAATCAAGTCTTGCTGTATTACTCAAGATGGTATCAAATAATGTAACATATTGCTTCGTTTCAAAGATATCAGTTTCTAGATACATATAGACTTGATTAAAACAGACAAAAATCATGACGTTGGAGGATGGATCAGCGAGTAGCAATAAAATGTTGCTTTTAATTTGGAAAACTTCTTTAACAAACTTTAAAAATCATGTATTAACCAGAAAATGTATGAAAAATAAGACGTGTACATGTATTTGTATAAAATGGAAAATACAATTTTTAAGGATAAATAACACAAACAAACTTTTTTTCAGAAATCAACATTATTTCTCATACATTTAAATTTAAATTGACAACCTGAATAATGTTTGCAAAGTAGACTGGGAGATTTTATAAATTTTTTCATAAAGTTGAATAATTGTGCAAAATTTTGTATGGAATTATATAGAAGGCAAAAAAAAAACTCTCAAATCTAAGCACCAAGGAAAACCTACGATTTCTTTATATTTCAGGGATTTATTATTTATATCAATACAAATCAAAATCAGTCAAAAAATATATATCAACCCGCACATCCATTTTTTGTTTGTGGTAAGTACCCTTAAGTGGTAGCGAGTTTGAATCGGACCATGGATGGTCTGCAAAGAAACAGGTTATAATTTCAAATCTTGTCAAAAGAGTAAGGTACGCCATTAAACGTGATGCGCGCTTCACTAGTACTGTTGTAGTACTTATAGAGTTATGCGATAAAAAATTTGAAAATACCGACAATCTGATTCAAGCTATTTGTACAATTATTGGCAAACTAGGTGTTTAATGTGATTGATACTTCTTTTGAAAGGAGAAGATGCTTCAGACCGTGTATGAAATTAAAAAGATGAGTAATTTTTAGAAACTTTCTCTACATTGTTTTTGACGTTACAATGTTGATTAACCGTGCTCCATGGTAACAAAACATGTTGCATTAAAAATTAGCTAACATGAATTCTATCTAATGAAATGTAATGAAACTTCACACTTCAACAAAATAAATATCTTTATTAACGAAAATGTGTTGATTTAAAATCTTGTTATAAAAATATGACGACGAGGATCATCTGAACACTGTCTACGTAGTTTTTGAATGACCCTCGTATATTAAAATTATCATAATTTTGGTGTAAACATTACATTCGATACACCATTGATGTTATCACTATAACGAGCAATAAAAACATTTTTTTAATTTGTTTCTATAATAGGAGACCAACCATCCTTAAAAACATATTACACTTTTATCATTTTAGCGGAGAATTAGACTACTACTGAGGTTTGTTGACCTTTTAGATCACATCTGATAAATCCGTCCTTTAAAATCCATAAACTCCGAAAGGATGACTGCCTTTTTGAAGAACATTAAAAGCACGATGTGGTCCCAGGTGATTCTTGTGTATTCTTTAATTAACCTAGCCTATGGGTTGCAGCAAGAGGTCAGTTTTGAATACAAATACAGCTTTAAAGGCCCCCACCTGACCCTGGACAACAAAAGTATCCCATTCTGGGATTTCGGAGGAGGTAAGAATTTTTTCGTAAGGATTCCGTTAGAATACTTTTATGCTGAATTAAACTAATTAATTCATATATTGTTGATGAAAAAAAGTGATAGCTTGAGTTGTGTATTATAGCTACGTACATAAAACTTCATCGACATAAAAATCATAGCCTATTTACACAATATATTTGCAATTTACGCAGTAGTAAGTGGAGCTCTTAGTCATCATTTAAGCATGACAAAAAAAATTATTTTGATAAAATATTGCATGTCGAATAAAAATGAAAAATCTGTAGGATTTCAATATCACAGCATTTGTTTGATGGGTTTTAACTGCAAAATACAACATTCAGGGGGTTCAATGTCCGTCCAATAAACCATGAAATAATAATTCGCCGAGCATATCATTTATAATAGAAATAAAGCGAATTGAAAAATATTATGAGAGAGGTAGAAATATTTTTACCTATTTCTGAAATATCATGAGTTTATTTTTTTATCAATAATCTACATTATTTCAAAATTAAGCATGCTCTTTCATATTAAAAAAATGAATAACTTTACACCATTTGCAGTTGATTCCAGAATTCCTCCGCTTTTCTTTACGTTGATAAATAATCAGCGTTAATAGTGGTGTATAATCCTTTATCAGTGAATTATTTTGATATCTTTTAGATGCTATCACAGGTGATGATTACATCATATTAACCTCCTACAAAAGGAGCATGAGAGGTAATTATAGACACTTTATTAATTTAAACAATGTACTTTTATAATTGAGAGAGGGTAAGGCTACATGAATTTTAAAAATTTTATTTAGTCTCAATGTAAATCTATATTCATGTTCACAACGTTTGTCTATCTTTTTTGTTTGTTTGATTGATTGTCTTTGTTTGGTTTTATCAATTTTGAGACGCAATTTTCTTTCCTGAAAGGGTGGGTCTGGAGCACTCTGAAAACAAGCTTTAACCAGTGGTCTGTGGAATGTGTTTTCAAGGTCACAGGGCGGGGTCGTGTCGGTTCAGATGGATTGGTAAAAATCTTATATTTTCGTTCAAATATTTTACTTTGACATCTTTAAAAACACAAAAAATCACGTTTATAAAATAAAAACTCGCACAGATTATACATTTCATTAAATAGATAGGGCATATTATTGATTTTTTTCTTTTACAAGTGATGTTAGCATTAAAAAAATATTTTATCCAAATCTATCCAAATGGAAGAAAAGTCGTGGAGCTTTATAAAATTACTACATGAACTATATGATTCAGATTAATTACCTATGTAACTTACAGTTGACTGACAAGTTCGTTTGATGCTGGTTTGTGTTCAGCGACTATTTTGGACAGAATGCTAAATTAGTAGTCTATCGTATTCGTTTTTTTAATTTTTTTTGACAGACTGTTGAATTCTGTTATTTTGCTCGTGTATGTTGACAGGCTGTGTGGTTTACTGAGGACAAAGGTCAGGAAGGACCAGTTTTAGGGAACCAGAATATGTGGAGGGGACTGGGTGTGTTTATGGACTCCTTTGATAATGACGGACAGGTAATACTTATGTAATGTCATTATGTGGAGGGGACTGGGTGTGTTTATGGACTCCTTTGATAATGACGGACAGGTAATACTTTTGTAATGTCATTATGTGGAGGGGACTGGGTGTGTTTATGGACTCCTTTGATAATGACGGACAGGTAATACTTATGTAATGTCATTATGTTGAGGGGACTGGGTGTTTTTATGTACTCCTTTGATAATGACGGACAGGTAATACTTATGTAATGTCATTATGTTGAGGGGACTGGGTGTGTTTATGGACTCCTTTGATAATGACGGACAGGTAATATGTAATGTCATTATTTGGAGAGGACTGGGTGTGTTTATGGACTCCTTTGATAATGACGGACAGGTAATACTTATGTAATGTCATTATGTTGAGGGGACTGGGTGTGTTTATGGACTCCTTTGATAATGACGGACAGGTAATATGTAATGTCATTATGTGGAGAGGACTGGGTGTGTTTATGGACTCCTTTGATAATGACGGACAGGAGGTAATACTTATGTAATGTTATTATGTGGAGGGGACTGGGTGTGTTAATGGACTCCTTTGATAATGATGGACAGGTAATACTTATGTAATGTCATTATGTGGAGAGGACTGAGTGTGTTTATGGACTCCTTTGATAATGACGGACAGGTAATACTTATGTAATGTCATTATGTGGAAGGGACTGTGTGTGTTTATGGACTCCTTTGATAATGATGGACAGGTAATCTTAATTGTTACGAGCATCTGTATATGCACGTGTACATCATATACAAAGCAGAACAAATGTTATGAATATTTTGTTTTAAAATTGGCGAATGATCTGAACATATTGGAATACTAAAATCTTTATTTTAGCACAACAATCCATACATTATGGCAATGGTTAACGACGGAACCCAACAGTATGACCACCAGAGGTGAGGGATTAATTTGATATGACATTTAAACACAAAAGATTGATTGTAAACTAAAGTTTATCTAAAAAGTTGTTTAACATGAAAGAGGAAAATTTGTTGGATTTTATGTAATGTTGTACCCTTGAGAAAACATTAGTACCAATCTCTTCAAATTTCAAACGAATACATTTCATGACCTTAAAATGATTTTTAAGAAAAAAGTAAAATATTTTGATGTTAAACTTAACATACTAGTAATTCTTGTTGAAATGAACCAATATCTGGTGAATTTTAATTATTTCAAAGTTTCAAAGTGCCTTGGTTTAACTATTGCATGTAAATTAACACTCAAAATATGTTTGAATCGTCTTGAGTATATTCTTTATAATGGGGCTTAAATAAACAGAGACCATATCATTAATACTTTATTGATTCTTCGCTATAAAGTGATGGTTCCCAGCAACAGCTTGGTGGCTGTCCACGTGACTTCAGAAACAAACCGTACCCCATCAGAGTGAAGATTGAGTACTACAATAAAATCCTTACAGTATGTATTCATTTATTATATTTACCAAGTACCGGGCAATAATGATTTGATATATTTCATTCAAATGTATTTCAATGATTTTACTTTTTATTTCTTATATAAATTATTTTAGAGTTATCACTCTTCATATGGTCTCATGCTAAATTTTATTTGAATGCTCAAATGCAGATTTAAGAATTGATTCAGAGCTGTTTATTATGGAATTATAGAGCTGTGTATTTTATAGAAATATGTCTCATTCTGAAAAGAATACTACAGTCCTTTATCATCATTACTAAATTATACTTTTTCACATTTTATTTGAAGTTGAAAACAATTGAAAACACTGAAATGATAGTATGTGTGAAAAAAATCAATGACTTACGTTTTGTGTACGGTAGAAGTATTTTTTTTCCGCGTGATATTATTTTACGCTGTGTACGCGGTCACAGATTATCCGCGGAAATTTGTCCAAGCGTACTTAATATAAATGTAAGGCATATATAGTGACACTCAAGAAAATCCGCGTAATTTTCTACCCGCGGATTAAACAGAAATTGAGATTCCGAGGAATTATAACCCCCGTGGAAAAACGTACGTCTACATTTTTTACACATGTATTTTTATCCAAAACGTTTACACAAAGGAACGATAACTTTATTTACCTTCTGCCAGGTATTCGTGAACAACGGTCTGACAAACAACAAGGATGAGTTTGAGCTGTGTCTGAGACAGGAGAATGTTAATCTACCAGACAGTGGCTACTTTGGTGTAAGTGCTGCTACTAGCAGATTCGCAGGTAAACAGTCACTTATAAATTGGCACTTCCAGTGTTGCGAATATTATGTTAATATCTAAGAGAATGTAAGAAGAAGAAACGATTAATTCTACAACTTCTATATAGTAGAATACCTCTAGATTGATATAGATATGTATCAAATTGGATAAATAAAGGGTTCTAGTGGTTGTGAAGTGAGCTTTAAATTGTTTATAAATAAAACTATTTGACGGTGTTGCTCGTTTGCTGAATTTTCTTAAGATTATGTTTTTGGGTGTGTATCATTACCGCTACATTTTCAAAATGTTCACGCCCTCAGCCGTATAATACAACCATTAACTGTTAATTCTTTTATGCTATCTGTACAAAGTAAAACTTACTATAGCAGTGTTTAAATATGGAAATTTAGAAAATAATACCACATGAGTTCTTTTATTTTTCTTTCCAATATTAAAATATTAATGGTATTTTCAGCAAGGAAATAAAATTATTTTTAAAAAATAATATCGATCTTATGTATGTAGAAATTACACTGTACTTTTAGCAAATGTCAAAATATTGCTAAATTTTTTATTTCAGGATAAATCAAACTGACACAGGTAATGGTTTTTTTTTTTTTTGTAGATGAACATAGGGTCTTGGCATTCCTAACTCATTCATTTCTTTAGTTCTCAGGACAAACAGGCAGTTCGTGAGGATTTCTCTTCTACCAAGTGAAATGGCTCAATATATGAGTGGAAAAATCACCATGTATAAAAAGATTTGGAATCTTTATTTGATCATTGTGCCTGAAAATAAAAATATATTTTTTGATTTTTTTTTCTTTATATTGTTAGGATCATTGACATATTTTCAACAGAATTGTTTTTTAAACTAATTTTAATGTTTGCAATTCCTTACTTAGGGAATTTTTCATTGATCAGCAAAAATATGAGCATCATTTGTTGATTTACTGAAGGAGATACAGAACTTAAAATCCTTCGTAATGTAAACAAGGCCCGTGCCTTGTTTTTATTTATATATAAAATATCATTTTTACAACAAAACGAAATTTAGCAAATCAATAAAAACTGTCTTATTCAAATTATAGTTAACTTCTTTGTTGAAAAATTTGCTTTGAACTTTGTCTTATTCAAATTATAGTTAACTTCTTTGTTGAAAAAATTTGCTTTGAACAAACATATATTAGTATAGTAAACCTATGTAAACAAAAACATGGCACAGGCCTTGTTTACATGACAAAGGTTTTGAGCTTTAAATCTGTATTGTATCTGGACAACTGAAGTTCAATTTTTTTATGCTTATTCGAAAAACCTTAGTTGAGTATTTGTATATATGAAAAAATGGATTTATTTTTTAGCTGAAACTGTGTTCATGCCCCTTTAATCCTTTGAATTCGTTTCTAACTTGACATTGTCACCAGATCACGTTCGTCTTTTAGGCTTTTGAAGTATAAACTCAGTAATCTACACATTAATATGGTCAATATTGAATATATATATTTTATTTTTTTAATATTATTTTTTTCATCTTATAACACACATTTTAGAACTATATAAAGTATTTTATTCTTACATGCATTCACTCTCACTTTCTCACTCACACTCATTCTTTGAATATATTTATGTCATCTACATGTATATTTTTTTTAAAAGGCAAACAAATATTATTATTTTACCTCATTTTAAATATTCTACACAACGCGTTATCTGATTGGTTCTAGGTTATCACGTGATCGGGCATATTTCCCGTCGTCGGCACACTTTTCATCATATTCCACCTCTTCGGAACACCTAGTGTATTTTCCCGCAATATAGTTCTCGTTGGTTGAACGAAAACTCCCGAGAGTAGTAGACGTCACAATAGCATGGTTTACGTCACAAAACTGATGACAATGTGTTGACCAAAAGGTTTTTTAGTAACTTTACGTTAACAATGAAAGTGAATTTGAGAGCGGTGCCGAATATGAAAGGTTTTGCTTGTTTCGGTATAATAAACAATTCATTGCATGATAGTGAGGGAAACATGAAGACTTATTCAGCCAAGAAATATCAAATTATATTTTTATATGATTACGATTTTTCTTTGCTGAATAAGTCTTCATATTTACCTCACTATCATGCAATAAATGTATAATATGTTTCGAAAGAAGATAGACACTGAATATAATATGTGCCTTAAATTGATTAGAAGACACATTCGTATGTTTATTCAGTGACCTAATTATTTTAACATGGAAGAGGATGACCGTGGTATTCTGTAAATTCCAATCTCCTATTGAACAAGGAACGGTCATAGGTATATACATATATTTTAATTTTTACTTTTCTTGTGTTTTTTAGCTCACCTGAGCCAAAGGCTCAAGTGAGTTTTTCTGATCACAATTTGTCCGTTGTCTGTCGTTGTCGTTGTAGTCGTCGTTGTCATCGTTGTTGTAAACTTTTCATATTTTCATCTTCTTCTCAAGAGCCACTGGGCCAATTTCAACCAAACTTGCTACAAAGTATCCTTAGGTGAAGGGAATTCCGGTTTGTTCAAATGAAGGATCACTCCCTTTTCCAAGGGGAGAAAACTATGAATTAGAGAAAAATTAATGGCATTTTTTTTAAAATCTTCTTCTCAAAAACTCATGTGGTATCATCCTCAGGTAGTGTAGATTCAAGTTTGTTCAAATCATGACCCCTGGGGGTAGGGTGGGGCCAAAATGGCCGATCAAAATTTTACATAGGAATAGATTGGAAAAATCTTTTAAAATCTTCTTCTTAAAAACTACTAGGCCAGGAAAGATGAAACTCATGTGGAATCATCCTCAGGTGGTGAGATTCAAATTTGTTCAAATCATGGCCCCAGGGGGTAGGGTGGGGCCAAAATGGCCGATTAAAGTTTTACATAGGATTATATAAGAAAACCTTTTAAAATTATCTTTTCAAGTACTTCAAAGCTATGCTTAGTTATATTTATAGGGAATCATCCTTAGGTAGTGTAGATTCTAGTTTGCTCAAATCATGACCCCCTGGGGGGTTAAAATTCAAGCCTCCTCCCCAACCCCCACCCCCACCACCAAACCTCCAAGTAAACTTTCAGTTCTGATCTGATATGTGCTTTTCCTAGTCAATTGCTCGGGTGAGCGATGTGGCCCCTGGGCCTCTTGTTATTATTGTAATTTCAGCACTACGTCTTAACAAGTGTACTCCTTCTTTATTTTTCTCTAATCTAACTGAATTGAAAGCCAAAACACTTAGGGGGGCATCAAAGTACAAACGGAAGGGGTTTTCATTTTTAAACAAATATTAATTACATCACTCTTATGTTTACTTCCTCATACGAAAAGTTATGTACCACGATATAAACAAACTAAAAATAAGAACAAAGTACTATATAAAGTATCATCTTGGAACAGTTTATAAAAACGAGAAAAAATTATGTCAAACTTTTTTTCAAGCAAACGTACTATGTAAAACACAACGAGATATGTATTCACTAAGATACAAAGTTTGAAGAAACGTTTGAATTTTGTTGATCATTTGCTATATTGGTGTTTTTCAGAAGAAAGGAAGTTTTTGCAGATAAACGAAGCTTGAAATAAAATTAAGATAATAGGCTTAAATATTGTCTTATTTTTATATTAACAATATCAAAAACTGTAGGCAAAGAAAAATGCCAGGGAATCTAAATGTATATCAAAGAAGGACATCATTTATTTTGAAGGAGGGCTGCAAGTCAAGGTATTATTTATTTAATGCCTGTCAAGGAGAACGTAGACAAGCAACGAAGGAAAACCTCCCATACTCCAGATTTCTATTTCGTGGGATGAGAGGTGAAGCACTTTGTGAAAAAGGAAAGATTTTATTTTTCTTGCCGGTCGAGGATAGATTCTTTTCAACATGACTGAATTTTTTTTCTCGAAAATCTGCCAACCCTCCTTTTAAGGTCAAACTGTCGTCCTAAAAAGTACACATTTACCTCAGTTTCATATGAAGATATACAATTGATGTGATATTTAAAAAAAATATTACAGATAAAACCGTTTAAGAGCTTTAGAGCTTTACTTGACTTTTCATTGTGTTTTTTTTTTCAATATATGGACATATAGAAGGAGAAAGAGATTCCATTGAAATAAGGAAGATATTCTTGTTCAAACAGCCTTGAGTGACTTTCTTATTTAGATATTCATTTTTGTCTATGTTTATTTGATTATATCAGTGTAAAATCTGTTTTTGGAAGTAAGATTATATGCTCTATATCTTGAACTTATAAACAGCAAATGAACACTCGGCATTTAGGGTTCACATAAAGTGGCAAAAGCTTTATATCCTGTAAGTACTTATATGTGCAAAAATCTGATTGGGAAAGAAAATTTGTTTTTCACAAGATTTTTGTAATTAAAAAATTTTTACACGATTGAGGCGGCACAATTTAGAGAAAAAACAGTACTAAAAAGATCAATGTTAAAATTACTTATGTTACAGTGCAGGTTTATGTTGCTAGTTTTAGCCGGAGTATTATGTATTGTACGGGGTAAGAGGCAGATTTACATTAAATTTAATATATTTTAAAGGCATAAAGCTGTATATATTGATTTTGCAGTGCATTCAAAATACTGCAAGTAATTGCCATGTTAATGGTTTGCCTTATTGCATTATGTTTTTTAAAAAATGAAGAAATAAGCAGTGTTACATTCGACTAAAAAATTTCATCTTTTTGAAAAGTTCTTGTTGTTCATTATCTCCATACGTTTCATTGATTATAAATACGCTTTGTCAAAAAGAAACTTCAAACTCATTTCGACTGCTGTAGACAAAGTAGAGATAAGGTTTTAATTAAAATTAAAATTATTTTTTTGTCATCAAGATTGACGTGGTATTCATTGATCGTAGAAAATAAATAATTATATGATAATGATTTTTCAGTCACATGTATTAGTTAACGGATGTAAATGAATGAAATGTGATTATTATGCTCCAGGAAATGAAATCAACATATATGCCGGTATATCACTGCTGAATTTCAAATAACTGGTAGGCTAATTATGCACAATTCATCAATGAATAAAGATAACTTTAGATAAATCTGACCATCACCCTTACTTGAAAATGCAATATACATATATAAGAAACAAGGTTTTCAAATATTTATGATAAATTCCTGTATAAGCACCCTCTTACATGTACATGTATATATAGATTCAACTTAAACCGCTCTAGAAGCTAACAATTAAAAAGACTTTGAAAAAAGAACTAAAATCTTATTTAACAACACAATTTTAAAAAAAAAACAATTTTAATGTATAATAAGAATGGATATAATACACAATAAATATGAGTTTTTAATGCTATTATGTATTTTAGACGACCTGCAGATAAAGCTTTATTTTATAATATACAGCCATTCATTAATGTTCATATTAAATATAACGTATATTCTGTATGTACATAATACATGTTTGTAGAAAAACAAAACATAGAGTACTTTTTCATTGGTTAATGATATCTATGGGGTGAGGATGACAGTTTAAACATTTAATTTAAGACAATTATGAGACAGTTGAGTTTATGATTCTACAACTAAATTTTAATGAAATAATATATCAATGTTTGAAGAATGTTTAAGGGGGGGACCTATGTCCGAAAAGTCTTTGTGTGAAATTTTCAAAACTTTGATATTTCTTTCCTGACCACTTGCTCTTAATGTTTAGGCATTAAAAACAATATCTTTATATGCTTATTTTTACACAGGGGCACGTGCAAAAACAATGTGAAATGCCAAAAATAGATTATTTTCAGACATTATTGTACTACTCCAAATATGCGCTAAAAAGAATCAAAAATGTCAAATCACATTCAAAATCAACAGGTATTTTATTTATATGACTTGTTTCTTTAAAATGAAGGCAAATTCATTGTAATTTATATCGCATGAAAAATTATAAAGGCGCAATGTAAGTATCACCCCGTTTTTCTTGACGAATTTTTTACAATTCCGACATACATAACAGGTAATAACTTCAAAAGTCTTTGTGTGAAAATGTTGTAATTCATATTTTTTGAAGGAACTGGTCTATTTCTTTATTCTAACAAAGAAAAAGGTATACCTTTATGATAAAATAAACGAGAAATATGACGTTTTCTTTTATTTTCGTACTATTGTGTAATAAATATTGACCTTTCTGCACTAAAAAAAAGTAAGTAAGCACTGACAGACATCTGAATATAAAACTATTTGGCGGAAAACGAGTTTTTTGTTTTGATTAGATGCAATTTAAACAGATTAATTCTTTTCTTCTTCATTCTAGATAATACATTCTGTTTCTCCCCCCTTCCATTTCCCTATCAGCAACAACTAGGAATGACGATACAATTGAATATACATGAACTATAAATCAATAAGCAAATATAAGTTCAAGTGCATTTTTCAATTTTTTTCTTAGTTTTATCCAGAAAATACAATTAATGGTAAACATAAAATTAAATATATTTCCCTGATGTAAGTGGCTTTCTTTGCTGAATTTTATCTTAAATCTTTTTGCATTTATATATCAGCATATCATCGAGGTATTTTTTCACAACTGAAATTGCTATGAATTATAAACCAAAGGAAGAGAATTCTAACATTAACAAACTCCATAAATCAAATTAAACTGTTCTGAATGATGAATAAATTCTCTTTTTGTAAATTGTGTACGTTATTGATTAATCACAATGTTATACATGAACATTACAGTTGCTAAAGTCAGCAGGTAAAAAACAAACGTCGATATTGTGACGTCATATAACGCTGCTTTGACGTAGAACAACGTAGGTCACCCTTTAATACATACATGTATACATGTACCTTGTATTATCGTGTTAGTGTTGAAATAAATCAATCAAATCTACAGAGTGCACTCTTTTAGAATAACATCATGTACTTTATAGAACAAAAAAAAATTTTTTTTAAAAAAGGACTGACGCTAATAAAAAAATTCTCTTTTCAAGGACAATATTTTGAAATATGGACGGAGTTTGTTAATGGTGACGTCACCTTTAAATGGACGAACGTTTCGAGCCTGCGCAATGATATCCTTATCATTAACGACTCTGAGTCATCTGACTGGGTGAAGACGTATGAGGACCAGTACACGGTGACAGATGTCCTTAGGTATAAATCAGTCACTATAGAAGTACGGGAGTACAATACTACTGAGATCACTAAAGGTCACGTGGATTACATAAAGACATATAATGGTAGGTTTTATGCTTTCTTTTAATTACTATAACATCACAAATTTTCGTGGAGTCAAAGTTTTGAGGTATGAGGATATAAGTGAGATTTGATTTAGAGGTTGGAGAATGTTACATAGTGATGCAAATGAAAGTTTATATTTCAAGATGGCTATAAACTCATGCCTTTCTCCATATTTATGTAACAATGAAAATTAATTCCCCTAACAAATTAGCGATTTCACAATATACAACAATGATTTCTATCCGATAAAGTGAAAAAAATTTTAACATATATTTTACAGTGATGAAAATTTTATTTTTTCAGTCAAATTACACTTTTTTGATCCTTATATTGGAGTTCCGAGCATCAATTTGATTTATATCAGAAATTAAAGCTTAAAGAATTATTTTTCTTTTCTTTAAAAAAGTATCGGATTTCATACTTTTGCATTTCTTGTTCTACTGCCTTAGTTTTTCCCTTTCAAGGATCTTTCACTCATATTGAGTCTCCCCTACAATGTGTATTTCACGTGCCTTCACTCTTTTCTTCACTGACTTCCTTTTCGCTAGGATCACAGTGTCTGTAAAAAAAAATGAATCAATTCTGATGTCTGCACAATCAAACTGCATATATATCTTCTTGATAAAAAACTTTGTTCAGAAGGATTGATTGATTGTATATTGTTTAACGTCCCTCTCGAGAATTTTTCACTCATATGGAGACGTCACCGTATGCCGGTGAAGGGCTTCAAATTTTGACCTTTACTCGGCACTCAGGGCCATCGAGCAGTGAGGGATCTTTATCGTGCCAGCGCCTGCCGCTGATACGGGGCCTCGGTTTTGAAGGTCTCATCCGAAGGACCCGCAACTTTCACTTCAAAGTGCCAAGCGCATGGGGAAGGAACAGTCGCTACCCATTTTAACGACTAGGTCGGTCGCGGCCGTGATGCGAACTCACGACCTACCGATCACGGAGCGAGCGCTTTACCTACTGAGCTACCGTGAACGGTAATTTCAGCAATAAAATTATCTTGTATTTTGTAATGCAGTATTTCTTCAATTTCAGAACGTTTTTATATCTATAGACTCTTAGCACTCAACGTCTTTATTAAAATTCACTTCTTAAAAAAGCTGTGTTTTCGCAAATAATTCAGTACTGGTACAAATATTAGGTTATTGGCATTTAAAATGTATCGAGTAAAAATCTTGAAACCAGTTAAGTTAAATGTTCTAAATTCTAATTTTTTAAAGATTTTTTTTTGTCTGAAACAAGTGGTTCTGAGTTATTTATAAAGTAAATGTGGGTCCATGTAACTATGTTTTAAACACTGACTGAATTTTTGGTTATTCACTGTAGGACATTCATTGGAGAAATGCGTAATTTGTATTTTAGACAAATTTTCATGATGTTGTACACAAAATTATGATATTCTAATTGATAAAAATTCTGAATCCTGTTTTCTCAGTATACTACTAAACATTACCATTATTTCTATAGTGATCATATCGGAAACTAAAGAAGGAGAATCGAAAAACATTTCCTGGACGGCTAATTACCGTTATTTTCTAGAAGATAACTTTTACCGTATATTCCATGATTCACACAATGGTTTACGTACCAGAATCATCAAGATAAAAAAGGATGAAGCAAAATCTACTACAAAATATGTATACCACACCCGACCGTTAAATTCTGTTCACATTCTATTTGAGGTGAAGAATATTACCTTGGAAGACGCCGGATATTACGTAGGAGGTGTCAAAGGAAATAAAGATGAAGGGGGAGTGGTACTGGTGGTTCATGGTAAAAAAATAAAGCTTCAACTGATTTGTTTAAAGAGTTCATTAATTAATTATTATATACGTTAATTTATTAATATATAATCTTAAGGAACATTGCTAGATGTAAACATGTGCTAATTGCTAGAAACAAAGGTGGTCAATTATAAGAAACACCCATTGAAATGAATAAACATTTATATTTAGGAGAGAGAAAAATGAGAGAGAGAGAGAGAGGGAGGGTGTAATTAATAATTAGGCTTTTCATCAGTTATGATAAAAATAAGGTAAAATGTAAAATATTCCAAATGTAGGAAAGCCTGTAAGACCAGTCATTAAAGGAGAGATGACAATAAGGGCAGGAAACCTTGCCTTTCTGGAATGTGTCAGTAGATCTACCTCCACTCCTTATTACTACAAAAGGTTCCCGCCATTATCGTATTTGTGGTACACTAACAATACCAGGATTGATGGAGAAAACCGGGAAACCTACAATTTCAGCGTCAGCAAGAATGTTAAATACAACAAGTACAGTTGTCAAGTTAAAGAAACCGTGGAGTCAGAGAGAAGTAATGAAGTAAACATCAACCCTTTATGTAAGTGAAGATATGTATAGTTTGAAAAATTTTTGCTCTCTTTATTCTGATATGGAACAAAAGTATCTTTGAGTCAATGTTATTTTATTCAATTACAAGCAAATTCAAAGAATTGTGGTCCCCCGCTTTCGGTACCTTTTTGGGTGAGATGTCATTTTTTATGACATTTTGTGTCTAATATGAACACCCTAGCATGAGTCATCTATTTAGAAATTATTACTGAAGTCCAAGGTCAAGGTCAAAGGGTTAATGTTCTTGGTATCCAATGAATAGTTTTCTCAAAAGAATTACATGTGTGAAGTATGAAAGCTCTAGCCCTTACCATTCAAATGTTATTCTCAAGATTAAAGCTTTCTCATAAGTACAAAAAATCTCCAAGGTCAAGGTCAAAAGGTCAAGGTTGTTGGCATCAAATGAAAGGGGTTGCCACAAAAAATACATATGTGAAATATGAAAGTCCTGGTATCTACTGTTCAAAAGTTGTGGCCAAGGTCAAACTTTTTGCAAAGTAGGTCAAGGTCCAAGTTCATGGTATTCAATGAAAGGTCTTTTCACAAGAATTATATATATGAAGTATGAAAGCCCTAGCCCTTACCATTCAAAACTTATGGTCAAGGTTAAATTTTTTCATAAGTACTGAAATCTCCAAGGTCAAGGTCAAAAGGTCAAAGTTGTTGATACCCAATAAAAGGTCTTGCTACAAAGAATACATATGTGAAATATGAAAGTCCTAGTACCTACCATTCAAAAGTTATGACCAAAGTAAAAGTTTGGAATTTTTGTGTAAAAGTGGGTAAAACTCCAAGGTTAAGGTCAAAAGGTCAAATTTGGTGGTACCCAAAGAAAGGTCTTGTCACAAGGAATGCACATATGAAATATGAAAGTCATAGCTCTACTAAATCAAAAGTTATGGGCAAGGTTTAAGTTTTCGTGACGGACGGACAGACTGACAGACAGACAGACGGACAGACGGATAGACGGACAGACGGACAGACGAATGAGATTTAATGTCCCCTCGCTTTCGCGAAAGCGGGGGACAAAAAGTGAAAAGTTTCTGTCTTTTTTTTAGATGGTCCGGACAAAGTTATCATTTCCCCTCAGCTTACTATGAATGTATTAAAACTTCAGGAAGGTGATAAATTTGGTCCATACCACTGTTCAGCGGACTGCAGCCCACCGTGTACCTTTCAATGGTTCCACATGAATTCCACTGGTGGTTTTGAGGCTTCATACCAAAGTAATTCAACACACGTTCTACAACAGCAAACTTCTAACAGAACCAGGACGAGGTTTTATTGTGTGGCCTACTGGCCGTGTGAAGGAAACTACACTAACTACAGTAATTTAACGCTAGACATTCAATGTAAGTACCAGTGAAATATTTAACGTTGCTCAAATATCATTTTTGGAATAAAATAAATGAAAAACATAAGACAGTTTCTCTTTTTTAAATCATTTGCCTCATGCAGTGCTGAAAGTTTTCTTAAATTTCATCGAAAATGTCAGAATTTTGGAAAAAAAAAATATTTGTTTTTTAAAAAGTTTATAATACCGGAATTATAAAGTTAAAAATCCTTGCCACTATATTTCATGTCAACTATTTCAAACAAAAAAAAATCTTTAATTATTTTAAACTCTTTCCTTATAATACATACCACTGTATTTGGTAGTTTTAAGGAGGCTGAACAAACCACAATTTATCTTATGGACCTTGTTTAATTTTTTTATTTAATTTTTTATCCATTGAAAGAAATTTTGAATTACATTATAAAATCTTTTATTTTTTCTTTGCACAGAACATATACTCTTTTAACTGAGGAATAATTTAATGTTATATATTCACCAAAAATAATCAAGTACTTTGTCTTATTTTAATAGAACAATATTTCTGAATTAGAAATGCATAATAAGTTGATATCATTTACGTCTACTTATAAAGTCATTAGGAATGGCCGAAATATTATACATTAATAAAGATTTTCAAATTTTACATGATTTGTAGATTTATATAAACCAGTTGTATATGTCAATGGCGTGGCAGAAAGCTATTTAAACATCTCACAGAACGCTTTTCTAACGTTATCGTGCTTCACTGATGGGAATCCTGCTCCTATTGTGACCATTAGTAGAGGAACAAGGAACAAGATCCTGGGGAAAGGCACCAATACCTGGGTCAACTACACCTTTCCTGGGAAGGCTCAATGTACTGATTCCAATATATACAGATGCGAGGGAAGTTCAAAACAATACCCATCCAAAGTTACTACAATTTTCATCAACATTCCATGTACGTTATTTTCTTTCAATGCATAGTTAATTAAATGAAGGGTTCTTATGTATCAATAAATTAATAGATCAGCATTTATTTTCAGGTAAGCCTCGTCTTGACGACCGGATGGAGTTTGAATCTACAGTTTATATAAAAGATCTACCCACTTCCGTAACTGTAAATGTGCCCATCATTTCAAATCCCAAACCGAGGTTAGTCACGTGGAATGGGCCACTCCTTAATTTCGATATAAGCACAACAATGTCGCAAAGAAACGAAGTTTACCAGCACTGGGTGTCCAGCACTATCACAATTCTTAATGAGAGTTTTCTCGGTAACTATACTGTGTTTGGAGAAGGGATTAAACTGGTAACCATCGAGGTTAGAGGTGAGGTTTGAAGAAAATTTTCATAAAACATAATTATAACAAATGAAGTACTATCTTGATCTTAGCATTTGTTCTAATCCCCTATGTAAACTCCATATCCCAATTCCTGAGATAACTCTGATGTTTTATATTAAAAGTATTTTACAGAGATCGACACAGATTTTGGTTCGCCTCCGCCTCAATGGAAACTGTGGCTTATTGTTCAAATTTTCGCTGGTTTATTCGTTCTGCTAATAATAGTCAGCATTATCTGTAAAGCCACCTGTAAATCTAGTCAAGGTAAAAGATACATATTTAAAATGAAGGAATTGATTTTATGTGTATCACGTTAGCAGTTCAAGTTACTTCTTTATATGAACAATTCAGATTGAAATTCATATTATACCTATTCAGTACAGTATGTATAATTATTTATCCCATGTTTACTACTTTATCTTTCGGTTATGTCTCATTGCATTTTTTTTAAATAATATAATATTATAAAGTGAAGTTTTGACGTCACAATGGTTTTTGCCTTAGCGTGATGAAGTAAAATAAAGTAGAGACCTGTATAAAACAGGGTAGAACTTTATGAATTATTAAACATGGGATAAAAAGAAACTCTCTTGATTTGTGGCTGGAAATGACTTCCAACTCGTTGTGTGTTTTTATACCCTCGCCAACCTCAGGGAATTTAAAAAAACACACAAGTCGTTGGGTAAAAGTCATTTTCAAGTACAAATCATGGGAGAACCTTTATTTCTATTCTGTTGCCTAGGACGATCACCTCCAAGCAAGGAAAACCCTGGTGTTTATGATATTCCAAGCAAGGAAACCCCTGGTGTTTATGATATTCCAATGGGATCACGAGAAGAAGATGAAAATATACCATTTGAATACCATTACCTGACTATGACGGCAGTCGGGTCTTTACCAAAAGGCCAGAAAACAGTGGACGAAATCAATGACAAGTTGAAACTCGATAATCAATACGAGAACGTCATGGAGGAACACGAGGGGCAATTCACCTCCCTCTATATCAATGACTCATTTAAAAGTACAGTGTGAAGGTGTGTTTTGTTAAATGTTTTTCTCAGAATGAGGGCCTGGGTCCGCTGTTATATATAAAACATGCTTAAGTCTCAGAATGCTCTCAAGTCTGAGAATATTCTCAAATCCAAAATTCTCAGACTCAGCGGCCGTCAGAAAAAAGTTGAGAAAAATAAAAATACCTTAAACTCTTTTATTCTCAAATTCTCGGCTGAGTAATTCTCAAGAGTTGAGTTGAGAAATTTTTTTTTTGAGAATTCTCAAAGTTTTTTTGACGGCGGACCCTGGTTCCATTCACAATAGACATGTGACATGAACATATTCCTGTAAATACTCGTATTTTGTTTACATAGCGTGTATGAAAATATGTGGCTACAAACTTTAAATTAGGAATATTTTAGATAACAATTTTGATTTTTATGAACAGTTGGCAGATTCAATGTATTATAATTTAATTTTACTTGTAACACGTCATTTGATTGGATGAAAGATTTTATCCAATTTGATCACATTTTGTCCGTCGTCCGTCCGTCCATCCGTCCGTCTGTCTGTCCGTCTGTAAACTTTTCACATTTTCAACTTCTACTCAAGAACCACTGGGCCAATTTTGACCAAACTTGGTAAAAAGCATCCTTGGGTAAAGGGAAATTTAAATTGTGAAAATGAAGAGACATATCCCCTCGCAAGGGGAGATAATCAAGAAAAGACAAAAATAGGGTTGGGTCATAAAAAAATCTTCTTCTCAAGAACCACTGGGCCAGTAAAGCTGAAACTTATGTGGAAGCATCTTGGGGTAGTGTAGATTCAAAATTCTTCAAATCATGACCCATGGGGGAAGGGCGGGGCCACAATGTGGTATCAAAGTTTAACATAGAAATATATAGGAAAAATCTTTGAAATCTTCTTCTCAAGTACCACTGGGCTAGAAAAGCTGAAACTTATGTGGAAGCACCCTGGTATAGTGTAGATTTTAAATTGTACAAATCATGACCCCCGGGGGAAGGGCGGGGCCACAATGGGGTGTCAAAGTTTTACATAGAAATATATAGGAAAAATCTTTGAAAATGTTCTTTTCAAGAACCACTGGGCCAGAAAATCTAAAACTTATGTGGAAGCATCCTGGTATAATGTAGATTCAAAATTGTTCAAATCATGACCCCCGGGGGAAGGGCGGGGCCACAATGGGGTATCGAAGTTTTACATAGAAATATATAGGAAAAATCTTTGAAAATCTTCTCCTCAAAAACCACTGGGCTAGAAAAGCTGAAACTTATGTGGAAGCATCCTGGTATATAGTGTTGATTTTAAATTGTTCAAATCATGACCCCCGGGGGAAGGGCAAGGCCACAATGGGGAATCAAAGTTTTACATAAAAATATATAGGAAAAATCTTTGAAAATCTCCTTCTCAGGAACCACTGGGCCAAAAAAGCTGAAACATGTGTGTCCATTGAAGGATCCTGGGGTAGTGTAGATTTCAAAATGTCTAAATTATGATCAGTGGGGTAGGGTAGGGATGTATTATGTATAACAAGGGGGAAATCTGGTAAAGAACAGATTGGTCAAAGCTTCTCAGGTGAGCGATGTGGCCCATGGGCCTCTTGTTTATAAACCGCTTTGCGGTTTATAAAGCGTAAACTGCCCCAAGTTATGTTATATCGTATAATAAAAAGTTGAAATAAGCTTCATTCCTTAAATATTTTTTGACAATTTTTATTGATCGCTTTTTGTGTAATATAAATAAAAAGACCGAAGAGTCTTTTTAATTTTTTGCGTGTACAAACTACATAATAATATGTTGATAACATTAATATCAAAACTTTTACTATTTCATCATCAACTTCCATTTTACAGATATTTTTAAATTTGTAAAAATTTCAATTAATTTATTTATGGCACGGAAAGAAAACTAACCGTGACATTCAGTTAAATAAGAGGGGACTAAGTACCAGTAATCAGACATTTAATCAGATGTTGATGCATAAAAATTCCATGGAAGTTTTGAGAAAATTGAAATTAGAAGATTTTACAAAAATATACAGCTTTAAAAGAAAATTACGACTCTTCCAAACTTTATACATAACCATTCCACTCGATAAATCAAAGTCCGGGCTTTTTTGTTATGATTTACAATCATGTACATCTGCTTTTTCAATAAAAATGGAACTTGAAATTTACTTACGTTGTCATCGCTCGTTTGCAAAGTTATTTTGTTAAAATGATTCTGATTGTACACACAAGAACTCTGAAGATGACATTAAGAAGATGCTTGAGTTTCTAAATGACGATATTTGTCTGGTTTTTGGAGATCAGGTCGACAAACAGTTCTTCAATGCAATAAACATGTCTGCTGAAGTTACCAAAATATGTATACATAACAAGTTTTATCTATTTCTTTATTTTTGCACACTGTAAAAATTTAACCCAAATAATGAAGTCTGTTTACATTATCTATTTTTCTTTGTTGTATACTTTTTTAAAAAAATATCCAAATTATTTAGTCTTTCTTCATTTCAATTCGTGTCTCATACTATTTAGTTACAAGTACAGCAGGATATACTGAAGTGATCAAGCTTTTCATTTTTCCTATGAAAAGCTATAAATTATCATTAATCATTCTTGATGTCAAATTAACTTTAAAATACTTTTTTCTTTACAATATCGATAGGAAATATTTTAGAATCGCAGTGTGGTGTTTGAAAACAGTATGAGGCAAAAAAAATAGTTTCAGTGTCCTTTGCCATTTTTTTAGTAAATCACATCAATATGATGTTGTGGTACACATTTTACTTCTTTTTTCATGAAAGTCAAATATGATATGTCAGATAAAAAATATGATATTTTTTTACTCTAATCATATTATGTGTACTCAGCTTTTAAAATGCTATTTCAACATTTTTTTAATCGAGGGGTGATCAAAAAGTTTGCAAACTAATTGAATAACTTCCATACAAGAAACAATATTTGGTTTTAATGTTGATTATATTTTAAATTAATCCTCCCCGATTTTAATGCACATCAACCACCGTTCTGAGCATACGCGAATCACGTGATATCGGCGGTCACGTGACCCCCTCTGTAGCGTTCTGTCACAAAAGTTGAAAGAATTTTCTGAGTTTTATATTTCTTTCCATGTGAATTAATTTTTATGACAAGAACATTTCATTTGTAGGAAATGGTCATATCTCGGCAACAGAATTAGTTGATAATAATATCCTTTCCAAAAATAAGCATGGCGACCATTAAAACACAAATCTGTCTCAGGAGAGACCTTTATTCAAGGTGGATAGAGAATGGGTGCATCCTTTTTATCATATCTAATATGTTTAAAATCTTAAATAAACGATATCTTAGGTATTTTATACTTATGTAGCATAGCAGAATTTTGTGTATATAACTTTAAAATTGTGTTTTTATTTTTATGCATCTATAATTATGAAATATAGGTAGGTAAATAGAAGTTTTACATATATATAAAATTACAAAGTTATTAAAAGTGTTTGTGTTGATTTATTTTACAATTTTGTTAAATTAATTATTTTCCCGCCAAAACTCTATTGAGCGATTGGTTTATTAATATCACATGACTAGTGACCATAGATAGGTTTTGAATTCTTTGGGGTGTTGGTCACTTTTTGTCCAGTGCTGTGGTATCAGCAGGTTGTGTCTATATTTAATTTACTTTAGAGGATTTTGGATTTTCAGTCATGGTATGTTTGACTTTTTGTTTGGTTTTTATCTTTGAAGTTTGAGAATTGTTTCAGGATAAGATTTCTGCATTTTCCAGTAGTTAAAACTTGCATATTTAATTCTTTTAGAACAGCACAGCACTTAGATAAATTTACTAGATAATTGGAGAGCCTAAATTCCATAATTTTGGTAAGTCGTTTGTTAAATACTATTTGTAAATGTAAGTGTAAATAATTGTTTGATTTTATCGCTAAACTTTCATAATTAAATAGGTTCAGTGGAGATCACTTTATAAATTAAATTTATAAGTGTTTAAACTATAACTATATTGAGTAAATGCGTTCAGATACGTATTTTCAGTGAGAAACTATTTTATAATTAGTGTTTTGTAATATAATATGAACACTTGATTATTGTATACATTACTGAGGTTTTGTACATTATTTTACAGGGCCAATTATCTTAATAATCGGGAATATCCTATTTCCTATGTGTGAAATGAGTTGGAAATATTATAATATATAACCTGCTGAACTTTGAAACCGGTGTTGTCTTCTTTTAATACATGTATACAACCAAGGTTTACACTTATATCATTTTTCAAATATTCAACTATTTTTCAAAGTGCTAATTTGAGGTCTTTGGTTGCAAATTGCTTAATTAAAATACATATCTTTTCAAACTTGCTTTCACTGGTCAAGATGACAAGTATCATTTTTAACTATCAGCCTTCCTTCACTAAAACGATTAATCCAATCATTAATTGAATTTATAGGAACTAATATATCTCAATAAACTGTCTAAAAATTATTATATGCTACTGTAGATGGATTTCTAAGATATACAATAAATTGTACAATCGTTTGTTAAACGAGTTCGACTGAGACAACCATTTTTCGTCACAAGTGACCTAAATAGTGACGTCATTTTCACATTGTGACGTCACAAACAAGGAGAAAAACTTTATTCAGCATGTGCTATTTATAGAACTTGTGTATGGCTATATATTTGTGTACTGAATTTCATTCTAATCTGATAGAGATAGTGTGCGAACTTTTTGATCACCCCTCGTATTTTGAAAGATTTTTTTTAATTTGTATCAAAAACATATATTGTGTATCCTATTTAAAAAAAAAATTCCGTAACATACATGTGTATGAAACGGGTACTAACTTCTTTTCTTGTTTTTCTATATATTTTAAATTTATTTTTTATTTCACCGCATCATGCAATCAGTAATATATGTGTTTGAAATCTAGTTTACATTTTTGTTTGCCCTTATTTATTTACTTGGTTGTCCTTTTTAAGCGCTAAGCGCGCATGCGCAAGCGATTACTAGGGTGTCTTCAGATTCCATGATGATTTGCATGATCTTTTTATCAACGACCTCTACCGGCCGTATATGTGGCTGCGTTCAGTACGATAGTTGCCAGTAAACTTACGCGTAGTTTAATGCTACATACTCAGTCGTTTTGAAAACACAGCTCGTCTACCTGTAAACTGTTAATTCTGTTACAAATTATCACTTAGCATAAATATTTATAATACAAATTCTTTACGTGGCTGCTAGGCTAGCAAAATTCTTGTTCTAAATTCGTTTCTGTACTTAAATTCCATCTACCACTAAGATCTTTGAACGCGCCCCTAACGCGCCCTCTATGATTAATGATATAATTATGTAAACAAATGGAGTTCTATAATGCCTTTACATTGGCTCCTATTGTTGACCTTAATTATCTCCGTGGTATAATATATATGGTTCTTTTTAAAGGTGATTATATTTTTTAAAATAAATGTTGTATATTATGTTCGATTTCAAAACGACGAACTCAATTTCGTGGAGTGATACAACGCTAAGCTTACGAAATACAGAGCCACTGAGCAAGTTATGTAACTGTACCAAGTCGTCTAAAAATATACAACTGGAAATCCCCGACCCTCTATAGGCTACTTTATTGTAGGAGTTATCATAATAGGTGTTAATTAGTACAGTTGATATTAATTTTCGTATGTAAGGAAATTCGGCGGATCTTATCTCTGAACAATATGGTGCATATCAATAAGTACTGGCAAACACCAATTATGTCATATATCTTATTTCTGCGATGTAATTCGAAAAAGTTAATACAAGTACCGAAAAAACATTTAATGCGCACGTGTATTGAAAAGTTTCAATGAGTTTCTAAAAATCAAATTGGATCAAATCTGTTAGTAGTACATGTACGATTCCATTAAAATAAAAGTTTAACTAGGTTTTCTATGTAGTCTTTATCTGTCTTAAAATACATGGATTTTGATGCAGAAAATTCCTTTAGACTGAACGCTTGGGTGTTGTGGCTATTTCATTCTTGTTAGCATGATTTACATAGTGAAGAAAAAAAATAAAGCATTTTAAAGTAATTCCGCCAAAATGATTCAAAGGAAAATACTCACGAATTTTAATATGATATATTTTTATTTTTAAGTAGAAGAGTATACTAGTAGTTAATTAAACATTTTTATTTTAAAAAGAAATATTGACAAATCAGCTTCAAATATTGCACGAGAAAAATAATGGTCAAACGTTTTTAAATTTTGGTACAAATTAATTATAATTCATGTGCGTGAGAGTCAGAGATGAAGGATAAGAATGGGTTTTATTTTTATCAAAAAGACAAAATTTAATGCAATATCCTTATACCCAAAATTGTAGCAATGTAATGAAAAAAAGAAGTAAAGTCTTCTGGGATTTTTGTTAAATGTTGATATCAAGATACTGCACGAATAGGGATTGGTATCACAATTAATGAGAAATACTGAAAAAAAAAAGTATTGTTGTGTTATTCAACTGTAACTATATTCAATACAAAATTTAAAGTTCAATTTCTATTCATTATTTGTATACGCAGTAACTTTTATTGATTGCATGTATATATTACAAGTTGCCATGCAAGGATTTTTATTTAAAACCGTTTATATAAAAATTGTAACTTCATAAATATCTATGACTAAATAAAAACAGTTCAAACAAAATTTTAAGGCATTTTAAAAATCTTTTATTCTTAATCCTAATTCTATTTTATCATTAAGGATGTTTTAAATGGAACAAATAAAAAATAATATCTCATTTCTCCCCGTGCACTTTCAAATACAACACCCAATACATCGATTACCTATGCGGCCGATTATAACAAAGGCAGACACGGTCGCCGACCGTCAATTTTGAATTTTAGTAAGTACGAATAATATTTTTGAGAGGAGAATGATTTATTGTTCAAAATTTCTCTAGAATGTTTTCAGCAACATCTTAGGTATTCAAAATTTGCCCCCCCCCCCAAAAAAAACCCAAGCTTTCCAGCTAATGTAGAGCTATATACATAATCTGAATGAGTGAGTCAGAAGAAAAAAATCGTACTGTAACATTGATATAAATTTTCTAATTTTATCGCAGAAACCTGGACCCACAATGCTGCACAAGTAATCTTGTTGTCCGGACGGGTAAGTGTGTTACTGCCCTTTGGTGTGACAAACAAAGAAAAGTTATAAAAGTAACTCACTTGCATTAAAAAATTGCACAGAGATAGTAAATTAGATTCTCTCTGTTAATTTTTTTTTTTTGCATATTTAAAAACGTTGTTATTGTAATACATGCTTATTGTAACCATGCTTAGCGCTTCCCAGTACTATCAGTACTTTGATTTATTTATTTGGTTCTCCTTATTTATTTATTTATTTATTCATTTATCTATTTATTTATTTATTTTTATTTTATTTATTTATTTATCTATTTATTTATTCATTTATTTTAATTTAATTTTGATTATTATTTATTTCTAAATTTTGTCAAAACTTTTCTTTTTTGTAGGAAAAAAAAAGTATGCTAAAAATTCGGGAATGCCTAATTGAAGACCTACAAGTAATTGAAGACCTACAGAAGACCTACGGAAGACCTACAAAAATGGGGGATATATACAGCAAAACTGATATAATATTCTGATTAAGCATGCTCTAAATATATAAAATACACAAAAAAGTTTTATAAAAAGAAGTTTTAAAGTGTATTTTTTAAGCTCGGTAAGGGGAACTATTTCTTCTCTCAGAAGACCTACAGCAAGAACGATAACTCGCGTAAATAACAAAACAGCTGTTCACCAAAACATATCAAGAAAATGTAATTATCAGAAAAATGTAAATAAAAAATAATGTTAAAGGTCGGAAAAAACCATTGGAGATACTTTATATTTACATACATCAAAGATAAAAAAAAAAATAATAATAATAATAATAAAATGCAATATTCAGTCAGAAACAATTCTATTTTGTTTAAAAAAAAATTAGTTATTAAAATCAGTAAAATTGTAAACACTGTACATGATTTATAATACCATTATATATTATGTCAATCATAAAATCATTATAAATACATGTATACACTTGTATATACGTTATATTTAGTATTAATATGTGTTTATAAATAGATGAGTATAATATTTAGTTCAGGTTTGAATTGTTGATCATTAATAAAAATTCATAAATGATTTGTGTTCTTGTTATTAATAATACCTAGTAATGTCATTTATAACATCTGGAAATTTTTTATAAGATTTGTATTTATGTAGAGAATGAAAATTTTAAAATTGCAGTTAAAAGAATTTGAAGTAATTTTTCAAGAAGAACACAGACATAATCACTTTCAAAATCTTATTTCCCCCGAGTCAAAGCATCATAATTTTTTTTTAAAAATATGCATGCATTTCTTATGTGTGATAACATGCGTGTTTATTATTTTATTCAATTTTGAAAAGTGTGTATTTTCTTTTAATTTAATTATTGAATGGTACACCTGGTATCTTCAAGATTGATATAATGTACATATATATTTTGGCTCAAAATGTAAAAGAAATAAAACCTTATGTTTCATATTTCATATAATAGTGCCTATTTCTTGGCACACAGCATGTTATCTGCAAATATACATTTAATTAAGTTATTAAATATTGTCATATAAATGTGTTATATTGAAAAAAGATGACCATTTTGAATATTAAAAAAAAAATTCAGAACATAATTCATTTTAGTAAGTTATATTCAGAATAAATGCACAATAATTTTATTTGTTTATTCTTGCTAGCATTTTTAAGATATAAAATAAATATTTTTTTTATTTTTTTTTACTCTGTTTTAACATTCATCAGAGCAAGTGGGGTGTGTTGATAATTACAATCAAAACACGGATATATCCTCAGGGTGTCTGTGTATACAACAAATTTGTGAAGATCGAAGCCCTTAGTACAGAGTAACATTGGTTAATTGAGACAAATCCACAGCATACATATCAATAATTTGAACTTGAATATTAATATTTATCCCATAAAACATATTAAAAGAATTGCAATATTTATTAAATATTAACCATAGATTTCAAGTAGAATATTAATTTGATAAATGAAATAATCATGATAATTATTTATATTTTTAACTTCATCAAAATTCATCATCCAGTTGATTTCTTTATCATAATTCATAATTGAAAAACTCAACAAAATCATTTGCATTTTTTTTTATTATGTCATATACATATACAATTCTTCCTATAAACTTCACAATATAAATGAGCGTGGTGTTGTTTACAAGACAAGTCAGCCAGAGTTATCGTTCTTTCCGTAGGTCGTCTAAGAGAAGAAATAGTTCCCTTTACCGAGCTTAAAAAATACACATTAAAACTTCTTTTTATAAAACTTTTTTGTGTATTTTACATATTTAGGACATGCTTAACCGGAATATTATATCAGTTTTGCTGTATATATCCCCCATTTTTGTAGGTCTTCCGTAGGTCTACTGTAGGTCTTCAATTACCTGTAGGTCTTCAATTAGGCAGGCCGAAAATTCATTCATCCAAAAAAAAAAAATCATTCGATCCGCCCTTAGGAAATTTCTGTTTATAGGAGTTGTCTCCCTTGCTTTACGCTAGACGGCGCATTGTACTTTCCTTCCGTTACAGTTTTAGCGAACGTCAAGCGCGATGCTGTCTACAGTGGTAGTTGCGTGTTCTTTAATTTTTCTAGCTTATGGAGCGCAACTGAAGCCTAGATTTGAATACAAATACAGCTTTAAGGGCCCCCACCTGACCCAGAGCAACAAAAGCATCCCTTTCTGGGATTACGGAGGAGGTAAGATTTATTTTCCGTAAGTTACACTCAGCGCGTTCTGGTTGGCTGGTACTTTATGTACACGTGTTGCATGTCAACAATAACATATGCCGGTACAATTTTCTAAATTTGATGCAAGCGGTCATTTTATTCTGATTTAAATAATGTAAATTTAAGTTTTGAGAGATTTTGAAAGTAATGAATGCTTTCGTTGCTAAAATAAAACACTCCGCTCGAGCATATGGCAGAAGTTGCAGATCATTGCAAACTTTCTCTTAAACTTGAATCGTCCTTATCAAATCTCCTTGACATTTAAACACCTGGTCTTGTTTTCTTTTTCATAAACTACAATAAATAAATTTATTTCCAAGTTAGATATTTCCACATTTTTAAATTAATTTGTGAAAACAGATGTCAACAACACTCCCCCTTCACTAAAAGTAAAAAAGAAGTGTTTTACATTTCATTTTGTAGACTTTATCATGTAAAAAAAAATTATATTAATTACGTCAACATGATGATGACCTTTTGGTTTATTTTAAATTCTCAACCCAAAACAAATTCTTAGAACTCAACATTTTATGTTGAATGACCCTTTGAATCATTAAATTTATGTTGGATTAAGCTGATATTGCAAAGAGAGAAGATTAAGGTTCTATTCAATGCATCATGGGTAGAAACTAATGATATGAAATTAAATTATCAGGGCAAACTGATAAACATTGTATTTGAGACCTTGTTTTATTTCCCTCCGTTTATGTAAGACCTAATATCTTGTATTTTCAGATGCCATCGCTGGAGATGATAACATTAGATTGGCGCCCTCTATCAGAAGCAAGAGAGGTAAGTAAATGCTGTTTATTTCACGAATGATTGAAATTTTACATTTGTCCTTAAATTTATTGACACAAGAAAGCAAATGTAAGTTTTTTGGAGTCCAGAATTCTTCGTCCGAATTGTAGGCAAGCTACACAAAGAATGGTATTATATGAGGTCAGTCCCTCTGATATATAAGCTTACTAAATACAACCAATTTATAGGCGGAAAGACTTATAGGCAATTATATACACTGAAAGTTTTGTAAAGCTTAAGTCTGAGTAAATCTTAAGTTTATTGAATTACAGGTTGGGTGTGGACAAATCTGAAAACTAACTTTAACCAGTGGTCAGTGGAATGTGTCTTCAAGGTCACAGGTCGAGGCCGAGTTGGTGCAGATGGACTGGTAAAATTTTTAGTTCATTCCCTTTTATAAATTTTTTATGCTTTTTCACTGCAAAATACACAGATTATCTCTTTAATAAAAAAAAGAAATAAGCAGATTTTATCCATGATCCTGATTACATTGAAGGAGTAGGTTATGTGTTGATACAATCAGGGAAACTTCTTCACTTAAATCTATACCCTTTAGGTTGAGAGTCAGAGATGTTTGTAGATTTTTACATCAAGATAGGATATAATTTTTTTACCAGTCAGATACAACAGTTTTATTCTATTGTTTATGAAGGATATTTCTAAATGTGTTCAGTAATTCTAGTTAGTAATAGAATTGATCCATCAAGATATTCCATGAAAAACAGCTTGTAAAATATAGTGATTACAATTTTAAATAATTTTTAAATCTCAAGATAAAGGAAAAATTACTGGTACATCTTACATTGTGAATCATGGGTTTGAAATTAAGAAATCAATTATAATTGTTTTCCTTGACAAAAATCATGACCTTGAGCAAGATTTGCCCTGAAGTCTTTATACACTATATAAATGACAGAAAATATACAAGACTGTTCACTTCCTAATGCTGTTACTTACATTGAGATTGAATAATGAAGATATTCTTAAGGCCTGAGGGTATTATAATACAACATTTATCACAGATTTTTTACACTCAAAGTAATAAATTAAGACTAATCCTGTATAATAATACAATGTTTTTAGGGAAAGGGCAATGAATTTAAAATTTACACAGATTTTATCCTCATAATCTTCAAGATTAATGAGATTCAAATCAGTATACTTTATTCTTATTGAAAATGGAATTTGTGTCATAAATGATATGGAAAATTGAGTGTTTTTGTGACCATTTAAATTAAAGCCTAGAGGTTGCTTATGTTACATAGACAAAATCATTAGCTTTTTGTTTTTTCAAAGCAGAAGTTAAAGTCAGTACTGTTTTGATAAACAAAAATAACATAAGCTTTATACGTGTAGAACTATATGCCAAATACAACACTGCAGAAGAATTTTTAAAAAAGATGCATCATGTACAATTTAGAGATAGCAATACATGTATATATACATATGTTTCCCATCGTCAGTACATGTATTTTTGTTTAATTCTGTCAGACTGCATGTACATAATGTAAGCATCAATGGCATAATACTCTGTTGTCTTTTCAATAGGAACAATTTTCTACAAATATTATATTTAAAAAAACGATGAAGCCTTATCAGCATTTGTACTGCTGCATAAATCAAAACACAAAAGTTTGTTTGGTACTTTTGTCAAAATAACTGTACAATAAACACATTTTACAAAACAAAAATAATTTGACACATAAAATATAAGGTTGAGTCAAGCCTTATTATCTCAAAATCAATGGGACTTAGAAACTTCAAGATATCCAAGATAGAAACTAGAATACAGAAAACGTGTTAGGGATTTCCAAATCACCTCATTATATCCATGTTGTTCAAGATAATGAAGTTCAGCTGTATTTTATAATACATTTATTTTTGACAGGGTGTGTGGTTTACGGAGGACAAAGGTCAGGAGGGACCAGTTTTTGGGAACCAGGATATGTGGAGGGGACTGGGTGTGTTTATGGACTCCTTTGATAATGACGGACAGGTAATACTTTTGTACTTATCATTAATTTACTTGAATGTGTTAATGTGCCTGGAATCAAACTTTCATGAAGTTTCAAGACCAAATACAAATGTATAGTAGAACATGTTGCACTGGATGCGGGAACAAATAAGTTACTTACTGCTCAGTGGCCATTAGTACCACGTGTTTGATTGAAACAACAAATGACAGTATGCAAATAAGGCTTAAAATAAAATATTGTTTGTTTGCAGTTGCCTACTGACCCACTGAAAATACACCCGACCCAAACTTTTTTTTAGCCATTTTGTAATATTATTTTTTTCCCAAATTTTCAGGATATTGAAACTGTTTCACTTTTTGTCTTTATCAATCAGTAGTTTATACCAAGAGCATGTGAAGAGTGGAGCTTTATTCATGTATAGTAGGCATATGAAAAAATCTATTTTATGTAAATCATCTACCGGGTAACAAAAATCTGAAGAAAAAAAATTTCAAAAAAAAAAAGAATGCCTAACTACCTACCCTGTCTAAAAACTATAGGTCGGCAACTGCAAACGAAGAATTTTTTAAGCTTGGCCTAAGGAGAAAAATTTTTCTAAAGAACATAATAAAAAAGCAGACAACCATTAATTTACCATTCAGTAATACATGTACTGTTGATTGTTTTAATCAAATTTTTTTAATGAGTTTTAACAAATGTTAATGATTAAAATTTAATTAATTTAATTTTTCCTGCAGCACAACAACCCATACATTATGGCAATGGTTAACGATGGAACTCAACAGTATGACCACCAGAGGTGAGGGTTTAATTGACTATGGTAGCGATTAGGGTTAACAATCAAAGGGCAGAGAAAGCTATCATAAATCTGAAATATTTATAATCACTTAAACAATATTTTTTTCTTAGGAAATGTGGATTTATGTTTCTAACTAATAAATTCTGACTAAAATGATCATGCGAGTAACTTTGATCATGTGACATAAAATGTCATGTCAGGCTAGAAAACAACGTTACCACATATAATTTAGTACAGTGAGGTTTCAGTGACTGAATCATTATCACTCCTTTTATGTCACCTTTTCAGTGATGGTTCCCAGCAACAGCTTGGTGGATGTCTACGTGATTTCAGAAACAAGCCGTACCCAGTCAGAGTCAAGATAGAGTACTACAACAAAATCCTTACAGTGAGTAATAAAATTCCATAAAACACCAGGCAATAATGATCTGAATTATGCTAAGCTGGATGTAGTGATATGATTTGCCTTCTCAAGATTTCTTTTTAATTTTATTTTACTATATCTCCTAGCATTTATAGCTTTATGTACACCTTCACAACTAATTTCTTGTTAGAAAAAAATTGATATCCTGTCTGCAAAGAAAGTTACATGGATACTTTGAAAATCTCCTTGATGTTTCCCTGTGTACTCATCATTGTAAATCCTTTTTTCCCAGGTATTTGTGAACAATGGTCTGACCAATAACAAGGACGATTTTGAGCTGTGCCTGAGACAGGAGAATGTTAATCTACCAGACAGTGGGTACTTTGGTGTCACAGCTGCCACCGGTGGACTAGCAGGTAAACATTTGTTAACACTGACAATCTGTGTTTAACTTTGTAGGTTACTTTTAAATTGTCCTTCTTTTATTCACTATTTAAATATCAGATGTGACAGATATTTAGAAGATATTTAAGTAATAGGAATAAAAGTAAGAGTGGGGAGAGGCAAAAGAAGGCATTTTTTTTTTTTAGTATCTGATAAGAAATATCATTATCTGTCAAGTTTAACTTGCTCTAACGGAGGTATAAAAGGGGGGGAGAAGCTTAGGGGAAAATATTGAAATATTATATTATTATCTGAGTGTATTTATGTTTGATTCAGAAAGGAAATTTGATTGGTTAATCAAATGATGTATTTATTTCTTAAAATTCTATAGAGGAAAAGAAGTCTTCAAAAGTACATACATGTATAACGTAAAATCATCAACTGTTTTAATAATGTATAATTATTCTTAAGGATGTAATTCAGACTGACATGTTAGATATGATTATTGTATTGTAGATGATCACGATGTTCTTGCCTTCCTTACCCATTCTCTACATTCCCAAGATGAACAGGTGAGTACAACTGTTCAGATTATAGTGCGATACTGCAACTGAGAAATTGAAAAATTACTTCATGTATCATTTTAACTGCAATAGATGTGAAACTTTTCATGCAAAGCAAATATGTTTGCATAAATTTACCTAGATACACGTAGATAATTTAGAAAACATAAAAAGCCACATACCGTATAACGGGTATTTTTTACGTGCTGCTAATTTTTACTAATTTTTACGAGTTTTAGAAATCTGTAAAAATTAAACATGTAAAATTTCACAGAAGTAATATACGCCTCGCCTAAATTTGAACATCGTATTATGATAGTATTTCAATGATATCATTGCCATTTAGCCAAGTACCTGGAGGCTACAGAATTAGTACTGACACTTGTTGGTATTTTGGGGAACTTTTTCAATGATTATCGATTAGGATAAAACAAGTAAATCTTAATTAATGCACAAATTATACAAACACCGTCAATTACCTGGTTCCTCTTACGGGACACATAATTACTGATAATGGCTTAATTATTAAGTCTCAAGACTTTGACCCTTTCTTCTTCTTATTTGCTTCCAGTAACAGGGATTTTCCACTACCCCGTGTAGGGCCGAATATGGGCCCCATTCCCAATTGAAAAATCACTGCATTTTTCCCAAATATGAACAGCCTGTTTTAAGTTTTGAAAAATTTATGTAAAACAAACATGGCAAGGCTTGAACTCTTAATGAAATGAACATAATGTTTGGAGACTTGGCTAAACTTTATAATAATAGATCTATTTTCTGAATTAAAGTTCTGAATAATGAAGTAAAAAAATCAATGTTAATTATCATAAGTGTTAATTTTTTGAAATACATCTTGCTATAAAATTTCCCAAAAAGTTGTAAAATGTCGTAAAATTCCCAATAGTAAGGGCCTTGGCCCCATTCCCAAAATGGGGGTGAAAATCCCTGAGTAAAAACTTCGACATTTTAATGTATCTTAATCTGTAAGCCCTGTTATTCTGTCAACTTAATCATGATGGCTTGAGTTGTCTCTGTTTTCATTAAAATGAAGACGGCACGTGGTGCGCAACAATAATGATGCGTGAACATTTGAACTACAGGAATAAATGCAGGGCATGTGATATGTAAAGGTATTTAAATGAATAAAAAGATCACTGAAGGAATCGACACTCGTTATCACGGGAACACTTTTGTTGTTATTTTACATCGGATTGTCCAGACATTTAAAACATGTATATGTATATTAACGCATTCAAAATGCTAAAACATTGATCTGGAACTTTACCTCTCATGATTTTAATTTTAACGGACATGCTGAATCCGTAAAAATTTAACGTGTAAAAAATAAAATCACTATATTACAACAGAAATTCATAAAAATTTACAGCAGTAAAAATTACCCGTTATACAGTATTTGAATTGATGTAACCTAATTTTTATTTTTGGGTTCATTCAAGTAAACAGAAAAGTTGAAGCACAAAGCTGGCAAGCTATTTGTATATTATACATGATTAACCAATTCCATGTCATCTTCTTTCACAGCCAGCCAATCAGGTGCCGGAGCAGGAGAGACAGAAATACGAAAAAGAGTTTGACGATTACTACAAAGAACTGGAACAAGCTAAAGAAAAGTGAGTTGTCGCCCTTAGTATTTGTATACTGTTTCCAAATTAGAGTAAAATCGGACCTGGCTTTATTAAATTTATTGAATTTTTACATAGCAGTCTTTTGTAGCACATCATTAATGTCTCAAAAATACCAAAAAATACAAAATAAAAGTTATGATATTGAACATGGAATAAGTTTAGAAATAATGATGATCAGCTTTTCTACTCTCAGGTGAAATTAACTTACAGAAATATTTACATTTAACAGCTACCAAAAACAGCATCCAGGAAAATCGCCAGGGGAATTTGAATCAATGGTAAGTCCGAAGGTCATGTTGGATTGATGTGTTAACAGTTCCAAGGTTAATGATAAAACAATTGAAAGAGTATTGTTGAATGTGAGATAACCATTTAATGATAAATTATTGGAGAATCAGTTGTAAATCCAAACGGAATATACAGTAAGGTTGCAGGGAACAAATAACAAGTGAATATTGGATTAATAAGAAAAAAATCTAATTAGGAACTATTTGTTAATAACAAATAGCATAAATGAATGATGGTGTTAAATAGGGTTTGTCTTTGTTAACAGTTTGAGGCCCAGGAGGACCGGGAACTGAGGATGATATTTGACGGACAGAACGAGATGCACAACACGCTGAAGGAACTTAACAGGAAGTTAGATGAGCTGATGGGAAGACAGGAAATGGTTTTATCTCGCGTCAGTCAGCTGACCGGCGGGAACGTCCAGGTGTCACCGGTAAGTCACTGTAACCCTCATTAGTCGCGTCATATGGAGGATTCTTTTGTTTATTGTAAAATCACAAATTTATGTGGGGTCATATTTTCGAGGTTTGAGGAAAAAGTATGGGTTTTGGGGGTTTGAATTCATGGTTGGAAAATGTTTTTAGCTCACCTGAGCCGAAGGCTCAAGTGAGCTTTTCTGATCACATTTCGTCCGTCGTCCGTCCGTCTGTCTGTCCGTCTGTAAACTTTTCACATTTTCGACTTCTCAAGAACCACTGGGCCAATTTTGACCAAACTTGGTACAAAGCATCCTTGGGTGAAGGGGAATTTAAATTTTAAAATGAAGGGACATATCCCCTCGCAAGGGGAGATAATCAAGAAAAAGCAAAAATAGGGTTGGGTCATTAAAAAATCTTCTTCTCAAGAACCACTGGGCCAGTAAAGCTGAAACTTATGTGGAAGCATCTTGGGGTAGTGTAGATTCTAAATTGTTCAAATCATGACCCCCGGGGGAAGGGCGGGGTCACAATGGGGAATCAAAGTTTTATATAGAAATATATAGGAAAAATCTTTGAAAATCTTCTTCTCAAGAACCACTGGGTCAGAAAAGCTGAAACTTATGTGGAAGCATCCTGGTATAGTGTAGACTCTAAATTGTTCAAATCATGACCCCCGGGGGAAGGGCGAGGCCACAATGGGGAATCAAAGTTTTATATAGAAATATATAGGAAAAATCTTTGAAAATCTTCTTCTCAAGAACCACTGGGCCAGAAAAGCTGAAACTTTATGTGGAAGCATCCTGGTATAGTGTAGACTCTAAATTGTTCAAATCATGACCCCCGGGGGAAGGGCGGGGCCACAATGGGGTATCAAAGTTTTACATAGAAATATATAGGAAAAATCTTTGAAAATCTTCTTCTCAAGAACCACTGGGTCAGAAAAGCTGAAACTTATGTGGAAGCATCCTGGTATACTGTAGATTCTAAATTGTTCAAATAATGACCCCTGGGGGAAGGGCGGGGCCACAATGGGGAATCAAAGTTTTAGATAGAAATATATAGGAAAAATCTTTGAAAATCTTCTTCTCAAGAATCACTGGGCCAGAAAAAGTGAAGCTTATGTGGAAGCATTCTGGGGTAGTGTAAATTCTAAATTGTAGGAATCATGACCCCCGGGGGAAGGGCTGGGCCATTATAGGGAATCAAAGTTTTAGATAGAAATATATAGGAAAAATCTTTGAAAATCTTCTTCTCAGGAACCAATGGGCCAAAAAAGCTGAAACATATGTGCCCATGGAAGGATCATGGGGTAGTGTAGATTTCAAAATGTCTAAATTATGATCAGTGGGGTAGGGTGGGATGCATTAAGTATAACAAGGGAGAAATCTGGTAAAGAACAGAATGGTCAACGCTTCTCAGGTGAGCGATGTGGCCCATGGGCCTCTTGTTTAGTAATGCATACATGTATGAAGTTTTACATTTGGTGGTGGTCTGTCCATACTCGAAAACAATGAAAATCTACCCCCCGCATAAATTAATGATTTCACAGTATGTAAATGTACAGTCCTCTCCCATTCTGGCCGTTGTTCTGGCGCCTTAAAATATTGACCAATTTGAGTAAAGCATGGTCAGATTATGAACTTTAATGTGACCTTTCAATACGCAATTGCAATGTAGGAAATATTTCTTATATGTAACAGATGTCAATTGTTGATTTCAATTGTGATGGAAACAAAGAGTGTCATTGGCTGAATACTGTAGATCACTTAATTTTCACGACACCTTATTTTCGTGAGATAGTCATTGACTCTTTATTAGCGTGACAAAATTTTCATGAATTGTGGTCATTGCTTTATATGATCTTAAGGAATTCTATTATACGCGAGAATGAAATTTTCGCGAGCATACTGCCTCACGTAATTGCGCGAAAATAAAGTTCTCGCGAATAAAAAGTGATTTACAGTATGACGGCACAATAGAAAGGCATAAATATTCAAGAATACGACACTATTTGTGATCAAGCAGCCATGGGTAGGAGAGAGCTTTATGTGGACTCCGGAGTATGGCTTAAAACAATGAAATGATCATATCTCAGACCAAAATATAGTGTATCACAAGCAGAAACAAGTATTTGTAATTATGGAAATTAGTAGCAAAAACCTAGAACAAATTTTATTTCTGATACTGAATACATATATGCAATACAGTGTGATGTTATTGTTATGTAGGGTGGTGGAGCCCCTCCCATTATCCCAGAATCCATCAAACGTCACGAGGTGGACCAGGTGCTGAACAATCAGGCCCAGATCATGAACGACGCCAGAGATATCAAGTAAGTATATAGACAGAGATACATATGTATTAATCAGATATCAGGTACTGAACAACCAGGCCCAGATCATGAAGGATACCAGAGATATCAAGTAAGTATAAAGACAGAGATATCAGTAACATATCAAGTAAGTCTACATCATGAGTAATGCCAGTGATATCAATTAGATATCATGTACTGAACAACCTGGCTCAGATAATGAACAATGCCAGAGATAACAAGAAAGTCTTGTATACCTATATATCTTAACCTTTGTTTACCTGTCTTTTTCTTCAGACAAGTGATGTATGATGTACAACAGAGAGCTGGTACGATCCAGGGCAGTCTGGGTGGTGGAGGGGGAGGATCACAGGGGGGTGGGGGAATCCCTCAGGATATACAGAACATTATATATAAACTACACGAGAACATGAACTATGTCAGGACGGACCTGTCCAACGTCGCCAGTAGACCACAGGTAAGGAGATTATATTTTATGGAGAAATCAAGTTTCATACAGAATTTGGAAAAGTTTGCAATTATGAACAACATTGTCATGATCTTAAAATTTATGTTATTATATCCTTTTGATATATGATGTAAAGTTGGATTATATTATCATGATTATTGAGTCTTGTTAAATGGGAAAGTCCATTTGCACTTTTTACCATGTCTGATATTTATATACTATCAAGTAAACTTTTAATAACTCTAAGGTGACTTAATTTTTGTTTTCCTCCGATAACTTAATATATATATATAATAAAAACGTTCTGTGTGTTTTTTAGGGACAGATGAACTGCCCAGAAGTCCAGGCTAACTGTGTGTCTCCAATGCTATTTTTCCTGGCTATAGGTTTACAACTTCTATTTATAGTGGGATACATGGTGTATAGGTCAGTATTCCTGTATTTTTACAGTTAAGATTTTTATATGCATTCAGTATTCACTTTTAACACTTAATGATGTGTGGAAATTTCAAATGATCACCTGCAGATATTCCTGTGCATCAAAAATTGAAAACCAAGCAATTTGAAATTATAGAAAAGACATACAATTCATAAAAAAAACATTTGAAGAAAACTATCTTTTAAATAAAATAAATCATTGTTTACTTTGATTTCATGTCTTTATTTATTTTTGTTTCTTTCAGATCTAACAAAGAAGCACAAGCCAAGAAATTTTACTAGGTTCTAAGTTTTTTATTAAATTGTTATAAGCTTAAAAAATGATAAGGTGCATTTACAGAATGGAGAAATTGCGAGATCTGAAAAGAACAATAACTCAGTATGCAAGAGTTATCTTTCTTATAGTAAGAACCATCCTGAGAGGTTTACTGGATGTTTGTAGATCTAGTTAATCCCCCAAACTGTGTTGACATGTACATTTAATGAAATCTATTTATTAACAAATTGTTATGACGATACAAATTGGCCAAATTAACCGTAAGGATACCAGTAAATACTTATAGAGTTGTGGTATTGTTCATCATAGGAATTATTAATGTCTCATGTTGTTGATTTTAAATTGTAACTGACTAAGTAATTTTGTTGGCTGTACTTATCAGGTCATTGTTTTGATGACAAGTGTCTTTAAAAAAAAATTTAAAAGTGTAATTTTCAAAAGGTACTAAAACAATTACGAATGTTGTAAAATTATTTGAAATATATACTTAGAGAGATATACATATATTAAATGTTGGATCTTTTTTGAGGTCGTATTATATATTTGTTGCATTGAGATAATTGTGCCATTGAGATAATTATTATCTGCCCAGTGGCGATGTATGATCTGGCATTTATAGATATTCCAGAGGAAATTGTGAACTGTACTTTGTAAATTAGTCAGTGTCCACCTGATTTAATAGATTTTTTTTAATACTAAAATTTAATTTCTATATCAAATTCAAAATTTCTTTCTTATCCAATAAATCATGGGTTTAATTGCAAGACTAATTCCTCATAAATTTGTTGTACAATTTCAATAATTATTTTTTGGCATTTTCTAAGGAATATAACTTTTTTGGAAAACTGCAAACAAATTTTTAAAATTGTGAAAATGTATGTGTATTTGTGTTTGAATGTGTAGAGAATGTAAGATTTTTAAAAGCCTAAAAATTATGATTTTAACATTCCAGGTCAGAGATAGTACATATTCAATGTCTCTCTTTTACAGAGCCATTGATATAACATGTTGTTTTATGATGAATCAAATGTGACATGTATGAAAGCGACATTGTCAATTTTCATATTGCTTAAATGGAAATGTCTGATGCATGTGTGAGAGAGGTTTACTGTCATTTCACATTAAATGGCTATACGTGTAAATTTTCAGAGTAGCATTTACATTTTATATTCCTATTTAAATTCTTTTATAAAACCACCACCTTGATGTTAGAGAAATACCCCAAGTACAAAATAATATTTTAACTTAATCCATAACTTTGTGGAGTCAGTGTTAGTTATGTGCTTTTTCTTCTTTTTGATCAGCATTTAAGGAAAACATTAAAAATTGATCTTTTTTAATCATTGTGATTATGCAAAAAAAATTTATAGAGTAGATTTAGAACAAAATGTACTTGTTAATGAAGAGCTTTTGACATTTTTATAATTTAGAATAGTCAATAGATTTGGTGCTAACTTTGAGCTTCCCACCATTGTTTGATATTTAATAATCTAGAAATTTTATCTTACAGGTGAAATTGACATTAAAACCCTAGTATTTTTTTTCTTGCTTGATGGTTTTGAAAGGTACTAATCTTTCTGTGGTACTACATCTGCCCCAGAAATTTCAGTGTGCACTTTTGTTTCTCGGCTTTGGTAACCTTCAAAGGTAGATATACAATTTTATTTAAATGCAAGACTTTCTCATTTATATATTTGTGCCCCCTCCTCATGTTATATGTAGGAAACTTTAAAATCAAAGCAATGTTCTTTTCTCGTCAAAAATAGTTATTAATACAAATCTTAATTGTTTTTTTCTGTATTTTCGTCCTGTGCAGCCTTACATATTTTGGAACCTCTTTAACCCCCCAGTGTGTTGCCCCCCCCCCCCACCCCCACCTTTTCCTAGTCATGATGTCCATTAGTCAGTGAGAGAGGAGAGTGATTGTGCTACATTTACCTGTGACATGTCTGTCTGTGTTATATTGTATATGTCTTCATCCATGTCTGGTAAATGGTTTATATTTATTAATAAAGAACAGTAAATCTCATGCATTTTTTGTTGTTTTTATTAGCCACAATGTTAAAGTTTGACAGTTTGAATTTTATATCTGTTAATTGCTCATACGTTGAAGGAAGATACACATGATAGTGTTTAAAACGTAATTAGTATTTATTTAAAATATGTGAAGTAAAGTTAAATTTCTGTATCTTGAACATTATATCTCGAATACCATTGGTATGTCGAATTCATTTGGAAGTTCCAGGCCTTTTTTGCTTTATGTATTTTACAAAAAACGTATTACATTTGGCTTTGTTTTCTTTTTCGCTGTTTTGTCGAAACCCAGCAACCGCTAAATCAAGTACAACTCTATTGTCTTGCACATATACACGATTAAGAAAATGAAGAAATGCGCTAAATGAAATCTATGCCAACTTTTCAAAAAACAATTTCCGCCAAATATCGTACACGTTAAATATAATACATTAACCGTATCTAGAAGTCTGTGATATCTAAAACTTTCTCCACAGTCCCACGATTTCCAGATAACATGGTTTGACTATTTATTTATTGCTGATCAGTAATTTGTTTGATCCAATTTATTGATACCCTCAATAACTACTTAAAAATGTCCCATAACTCACAAGTATCACTTACGTATTTGTTTTTAAACTTTATTGAAAAATCAACAAGGATTTAATTCCCCTAAAATTAATAAATTCACATTCAACAGTAAAAGCCAGATGACTAGAAAACAAAACAATCTTAGACTTATCAAATGTCTAATGAAGAGAATACGTTATTCAGCTGCAGATACATCTACCCCATCAGGGGTTTTATCTTGAACACTTACACTGACGTCATTTACATCTACATCGTCATGACAACAACAAAGTGTTGGACTGTAACTATGGTGCACATTATTTGGATTAAAAGTTATCTCCCTTCGCTTTACTGAAACACATGACGTCATGTCATTCGGAACTAGGGTATATTTTCGTTCGTTTTCGTTCCATATGTGTAAAGGTCCACGGAAACCGTATTTATCTGGCCGACAGCTGAAACCAAAAGGCGTGAAACACCCGAAATACTGATAGGACCCTGTGTCCACGGACCCTGTGTCCACGTCTATGATGCGAATGCCTGGTTGTTTTAGAATATCGTAAAGCCGCCATTTTTGACAAACATGCATCCCAAAGTTGTCTTTCTTCACAATTCTAGTTTTGAGTTCCCTGTCAAAATACTTGATAGAATGTCTAGGACTATCTTCTATCACCGCCTGTAATAGGTTGGAGGGGTTAAATACGGCGTCATCTGACTTCAGATATTTTAACATGCATCGTACTGCATGATCCGCCACTGAATTGATCTCGGTTTCATCGGCAAGCATCGCGAGCTGATATTCATACGCAATAGAGAGTTCTGTGGACACGGCATTTAGTACGCTCTCGTAATCTTCTTTTGGAATGCAATCCATAGGTTTCAGTCGCCTCATCGCTTTCACTCTCTGAAAAGCATTGTAGATGCCTCGGATTAACCTTCGGAAACTGTAGTGCTCGCCAAGTCGGAAAGAGTTCCGAATGCATCGACCCTTGGAATATTTTTCGCTGACAACTATTTCCATTTCATCTTCACAATCATCGTCCTCGTTCTCGTCGCCATGCGCCTGCGCGTTCACCCCTAACTCCAACAAAATCCTTTGATATTTGGCTTTTTTGCGATTAAAAGTGAAAACAAGCCTCTCTCGGAACACCTCTGTTACTTTTGCAACTTCTGCCTCACTTGGATAACATTTTATTCTTTTAGAAGATTTTGATTTTGATTTTGACAGAGTCTCTGCTTTGTTTTCAATTTTGGAGATAAATTCAGAAGTGTGGTCTGCAGTTTTCTCGATGTCATTGATTCGTGTAAGCTCAATGGCGCCTTGTTCAGTCGAAGTCATTGCCGACATGCCGTTTCCGCATTGATCCTTATCCATGCGTGTTGTTCTGTCAAATCACATCTAAAATTAATAACAAATGATAATGAGTTTAAACGAAATTAAAGTTCCGGAAATAGTTTATTACACATCTGAGTAAATATCTTAAAGCAGTACTTCTCAATCCGTATACATAGAGATGAATTTTAATTAAAAAAGTACAAAGAAGGCACGCGCATGTACAGTACTTTCAGTACTTTGATTACACAAGTTACCTTAGCCTAATTTTCAAAAATGACTAGTAACGAAAATGAGAAAATATTTCATTCTGCAGTCTCGATAGTTGAAATTGTGGAATGGTTTATTTTTTTTAGAACCGACAATTCTAAATTTAATCAATCTTTTTACACATGAAATTTATTACATAGATCGTCTAGAATAATAATTATCTTCTTGAACAATTTATAACGTGCATTGGTATACTTACAAGTATTTACACGGAGATGACCATACACAGTATAATAAGTCAACCTTATCAATTGATGGTTTCTGATTATTAAGACAGTATGTACACCCAGTTTTATACATACCGATCCTACCGAACACGCCCTGACTTTCCCCTATATTTGACCCATTACACTGTAGGGCCCGCAACCGGACACGCCCTAACTTTACCCTGTACTTGACCTGTAGGGCCTGGACACGCCCTGACTTTACCCTGTATGTTACATTGTAGAGCCAGTTCATCCTTGCCGGATTCTATTTCCTGTCTAATCGTGTGATTTTTTCTAAACATACGGTGGTGATATACATGCATACCCGCCCCGAACTTTTGAACTTAAGGGGTGTTCCGAATATACATGTCCCAATGTCCTCTTATAAATTTAGAATTTGTTAAGTTTTACTGAAATTTGTACTTGACGTATTACATACGCATTACTCAATTTAATACTATCACCATCTTTCAGATGTATTCATTCATCTTAAAATTGATCATTTATATGATTATGTAGAAGTTGGGGCTTTACGGACCGTGGATATCGGCCTGGATAGCTCAGTGGTTAAACCTGAAAGGGGTCCCGGGTTCGAGCAGCCATATGTTTTCTTCGTGCATTTCTCCTTTCCTACTACATTTGGTTGCCAGTGTGGGGGGCCTTGTTCAGGTTACAGTGTATGTGTAAATTAGTAATTCCTGGCAGGGCCCTAGAAGTTGTGTCTTCGGGGTCGAAGACTATTTAAGGAAGGGGGAATGTAGGAAATTAGGCTGGACTGAGGACATCATAGCTCAGTGGTTAGAGCACCTGACTAGAAATACAGGGGTCCCGGGTTCGATTCCCGTAATATATATGTATTTATGAATTTTCAATGTATGTTTACTCATTCCTCCTTTCCATACTATAATTACATATACTAGTATTAAAAAAAGCAAGGAATCCATTGAAATATTTTCTTATTACTGTATATTAAAATTTAGAAGAAGTCTTAACCATATTACCGACTGTAAAAATGAGCCTATAGAAAAAAAACTTTCTCTTACCTTATAATTGAGCTAAATACAGCTACATGTACATGTATCTTTTATCACTGTGTTTGTAAAAGCCTCAGTATTCAAAAAAGTCCTTCCAAGTTAAAAATAAATATTCTGAGTGGTATTTTTCAAATATCTCTTTTCTACAAGAGGGGAACGTATAACTCCCACTTCCCGTTTTGACAATTAAAATAAGATATTCCGACTACAAACACCGCCTACATACAATACTTGTTGAGGTTTAAAACGATAATGTGTAGATGATTCATAAATAAACTTATATCAAAATAAACATCGACGAAGCTTATCTGGTATTAAAAATGACTTTCAAAAACTGTTTATGATTAATACGTGAGTAACCAAAATATATTATTATAGGGCTATATGTAGAGTACTTTTTACGTATAATTTAGTTAAACATTTGAAAAAGTTTTATTTTATTCTCTTCTGTCTCAAATCTCAACTGTTCAATTTTTTTTCTTTTGTCTGTCAAATTACATTTCTCATATATCAGTATATTTTGTATTTTAATTTTTTTTTTATAATTTTTTTCCTGCTGGTGAGGATAGTCTTAATTAATTTATTAACTACTAGTAGTTAATTAGTTAAAAGTGACCGGATCGATAGAATAATGTATGAATGTGAAAAATCCAAAATTTAAATCAATGTCTAAAAATTCTAATTTAATATATACTACATGACCATATTTTTTATATTTAAGGTGAGGGACAGATCAGTTGAATGAACTCCCCCTCCAACCCCTAAATTCTTTGATCTTAAACTCATATCAGATCTATCAAGTAGCTTAATTTGTTTCCGAGATTTCGGAACTTCCAATTTATTTACGAAAATGAAAGTAGTGTCTTAAAATATTCTTAAATAATATATTGAATTAAAATTTTACTTTCTTTAAAATGTCTTTTAGACTATAGCTAAATATGACATTAGGATATCACACACAAAGAGAGAGAGAGAGAGAGAGAGAGAGAGAGAGACGAGGATAGTGTAACTATACTACTTACTGTTAAATCGCTTATCACTGCTGACTGATACAAACTGCAGAAATTCCCCACTTATATCGGAAGTAGTCAATGCGGAACGATCGATAAGCTAGCTTATGATAAATCGTATTATCTCACTGTATGAACAGAAAGTAAAAAAAAAATAGACAATGTAGTTCTATGGACAGTGCGCCGACATTGACTGCACCAGTTTATATTTCTCCGGAAGTTCACCGGTCGGATTAATTATCTCGGTCAGTTGTTCCGTTTGTTGTTATAGAGCGGAGTACTGACATCCGAGTGTTTCCCTGTACTATGAATCACTCACTGTGTTGTGGTCAAACGGTCACAAGTCCCAGTATATAATGAATGTCACAGCGCTGTATTTATTCCATATGTCTATCCCATCAGTGCGTCCTTTCTTCTATCCTTTATACATTCAACATAATTTGTATTCGATATACAATAAACAAAGTATTGTTAACCAACTAGTACACTATGTACACTCGATACATGTAGAGCATTGACCGACACTCTTTGTTAGACCTAATGTCGATATTATACACATATGTTTTAATCTATAATCCCCCGTTTCCCCCGTACAGTGACCACGGAGAGCCGAGTTGTTTCTTTTTCTCGGTCGGACGCTCTTTGTTGTTCTGTATACGCCGTATTTTATCGACCAGTGCGCCAGCCGATGCATGGAAGCGTATACAGAATTACGTAATATTCAATGTACCTGGTGTATTGTTGATAGGGGATGAATCCATTCATAAGATATCATGAAGTTAATGATCGGTTATCTCTGACTTGTAGTCATTATCTTATACTACATAGATAATTATGCAGGCATACGATTAATTAATGTTCTGCGGCATAAAAAATATCGGTGAACCAAAAGCAGCTGTGGCCCTTTAAAAAATTCTTTCGACCAAGACTAAAAGAAAGTGGGCGCACTAGATGGGCAGTCGGCAGGAATCATTGACACGAAACAATTCAGATTTAAGGCCGGTATACACGGTAAGATTTGTATTATAAGATTTGTATTATAATACAAAATCTTACTGTGTATACTATGGAACTATGGAACGCCAAATTAACATATATTCAAATATTTGTACCTATCTTCAAATAATTGTACCTATCTTCAATTGAATTGTACCTATCTTCAAATGAATTGTACCTATCTTCAAATGAATTAAAGATAGGTACCATTCAATTATACCTATCTTTAATTCATGTGAAGATAGGTACAATTGAATTGAAGATAGGTACAAATGCAATGAATTGAAGATAGGTATAATTGATTTAAAGATAGGTACAATTGAATTGAACCTATCTTTAATTATTAAGATATTGGCAATAACAACTACTCCCTTCATCATAGGTCATTTCCGATACGTCACAACTGGCGCGAAAGTTTATCGGAATCTTCATCTGGCTGCAATACAAGATAAACTTACATGATGTACATGTGTATTTTTATAAGTATATGATGCTTTCTGCACATTTTGAATTAACCTTTATTTCTCCTTTCATCCTTGTTGTCGTCGCTCTGTAGTTTCTGTGCGTTTCCCTCCATACTCAATATTGTCTCCAAGGGAGCGTTCATTATTTACCAACAACATAAAACGAATTGAACCTAGGTATAATTGAATTGTACCTATCTTCAATTCCTTTGTGGATATGTCTTAATTGAACCTATCTTCAAATCAATTGTACCTATCTTTAAATCGATTATACCTATCTTCAAATGAATTAGAGATAGGTATAATTCAATTGAACCTATCTTTAATTGAATTGAAGATAGGTGTAATTCTATTAAAGATAGGTACAATTCATTTGTACCTAGGTATAATTATTTAGAGATAGGTATAATTATTTATACCTATCTTCAATTTAATTGTACCTATCTTTAATTCAATTGTACCTATCTTCAATTCATTTGAAGATAGGTGCAATTATTTAAAGATAGGTGCAATTATTTGAAGATAGGTACAAATATTTGAATATATGTTAATTTGGCGTTCCATAGTATACACTCTTAATACAGTGTATCATAAGATTTTTCGAATCTTATAAAACTGTATTAAGAATAGAGCAATGCTCTATTTCCTAATACAAATCTTAACTTACCTATCACTTTCAACCAATGAAATGTAATGATATTAGGGGTCATCCTATTTTTATCATTACTAAAAATAAGCACACGGTAAATAATAATGATAGACTTTACAAGAAAAGACATCGAAAAACTCGTGGCTTAATGGGAAGGGGAAAAGGACTTGTGGAATATATAAAGCAGTTCATAGTACGATGATAGACACTGCTATCAGATCTTCATCCTTCATTTTGATTACTTTGACAGAGAGAGAAATATGGCGGGGTAAAACACGTGGGAATACATAGTTTATTTACAATCTTATAAGATATGTATTAGCGTGTGTACAAGGAAGTATTATAATATAAAAGTATTATAATACTTGTATCGTACTACAGATCTCATCGTGTATACCGGCCTTAAATGTCCAAGAACCAAGTAGTTTTAATACATATCATACAATGAACCTAGAAACTTCATGGGAATGGATTTCTGTCTTATGTTTGTTTATTTGTAAATAATTTTTTTTTTAAATATTAAAAGGTGTCATGAAAGATAAATTATCTATGCTGGATACATTTAGTAGAATATAATAGAAGTCTAACACTAAATAATTTTTGTGCTCATTTTTCAAATGCACTGAAAATAATGAATGTAATAGAACGATCGAAGTTGCTGGTTTTTTTTTTTTATATATACATGTATATTCAATATTTTTTCATCAGGTGTAACTTTGTAGTTACAAGTTCTCAATGTTTATTTCTGTCTGGGAACGTTAGCACTATAAATGGCAAAATGTGAACGCATTGAAATATAAAACAATTAATGTAAAATAATTTATAAAACATAATTTTGAAACTTTATTCAAGGAATATTTTTACTACCAATTCAAAAATTATAAGCAAAAATAAAATAAAACAAAATAAAATAAAAATCATTGTATTCGAACCTAAAATGCTGCGTTGATATTGCTCGAATCCAGCGACAAACCAATGTAGCTACCGCGGAGCACTATCTATAGCTAGTATTTAAATCATTATTTAAAGCCAAAGCGTTATATAATTGGACTTAGTCAATTTTCTACCAGAAAATAAATTGAAAAAGTTTAGATTTTGGTATTTCTGGGTCGTCTCTCCATTTTTTAAACAACTGGAATAAATTTTACGGTTAAAAATACACTGATAACGCATTTAAAATTCACGGAGAGAAGACCCAGAAACAACAAAATAAATGAAAAATGGTTGTAAAAGAGTCAATTTTTGCATCATTTGACTCGTATGGCTTTATTCAGGGGCATATTCAAATAAAACCAAACATATTTAAATGAATATTTACCCATTTTACATTCACCTATAACACAGTCTTTGGCTAGGTTTTGAAAAAATGTATAAATCAATGATAAATTTTTATTCTTTTTATGACCCACCATTCCTGCCGAATCGCCATCTAAAGCGCCCACTTTCTTTCTTCTCTTTCATTTTTAATTTAATAATCAAAAAAGATTATTTTTTCTCTGAATAATTATTTAAAATGTTATTATTAAATAATAAGTTTAAATTTTTAGATATTTGTTGTAGAATGGGAGGGGGGGGGGTTTAGTCTTAGTCGTCAGAAATTGTATGACAGGCTACTGCTTTACACCCTGTATTTATACGCAGGTGCATTTATCATAGATGCAAATCACTTAATTCTTAAAAAATAAATAGCTTAATATATTTAAATACTTAAATTTCTTTTTCGATAAAAAAATTATCTTATGAAGTTTGATTACATTTTAAATCGGGAACCTAAATGTATTTCTCAGAAAAGAGTTCTTAGTTTCAATCTAAAGACTTACTGACAATACTTAATTAATTAAAGTTTCCCCTAAGAAAGTAACATGAGAGATCACAGCTAACAAAAATTAGATCGAGTGCATATTCATGTTCATTGAAACAGGCAGATATTGTAAATCAATATTAATTTACTTCAAAGGGAAAATTCTATTTGATAAATCCTTGAGCTGTAAATTATAATTGTTTAAAACGAAAACCAAAATACGGTCAATTTGAAACTTTAATTCATATTATTTAGTCATCATGAAGATTATATTCCAATTTAAATTCACTTCGTTGTACTAAATCAGGCCGTGATAAAATTTCTATTATGTACAAGCAAATTATATTATTTTTATGATGACTCATGCAGTGATTTCTTCCTTTTGTTCTCAACCTTTTCTGATATCACGAATGAGATTCCAAGATGTAATTTCAACAGCTTTAATAAGTTACTCACTTAGTTATTTACCAATGCAAACACAGGTGTACATGGTTTTTCATTATTCATGTTATTTTCTTCAATACAATTTTTTAACTCAATACGCGATTGATGCTTAAAAATAACGTGAATTATTTGAGCATATCAAAAACACCAGAAACAGATTATACGATGCTCATAGAAGTCACATGTCACACATTGGCACACATTCTATCAATTACTATAAACTATATCTACGTTGCAGTAATAACCACGTGATGTTTCCTCTATTTCTGGGACGCTTTCATCACCAGGTTCATTCGGATAATCCTCTAGAGTTGACGCAGCAATCTTATGACAGGCTGTATAATCCTCCTACAAACGGAATATCTTTATCTTATTTAATCATTTTAGATAAACAACTATAATGCAAAAACAACTGTCAAAACAACACAAACCATTCTCTAAAAACGTCTTTCAAGATTAATTAAATCTTAATATCGTAAAAGTGAATGATGTATCTGCCAAGTTGTGATGTTAAAGTTAAATAATATTATTTTGCTGATAGTTCAAGCGGTAAAGAGAATCAATTTAAATACTAGTATTGAATTATCAAAATTCCTTCTTTTTTAGATTTTGTATCTGAACCTTCCACGGTCTACGGATCTCTAGCTGGCAGACTATGCTAACCTTTGATGAGATCATTTCCGGTCTTCGGATCTGTAACTGTCTGACTATAGTAAACATGTCTACTTCGTCATCCTGACGTAATTGTTGAAGGGCATTGTACACTGCACAGAACAGACCACAACCTGTTGCACCATCTCTGTTTAAAATAATTTTTTGTCAAAGTATCTTTTAACTCAAAAACTTATGTTATTTGCTGTAAAGAAACTAATTATGTTCAAGCAATTAATACATACACTTAATACATGTATAAAGAAAATGACCTTAAAATCAGTGATTCTCTTAAAACCCATGACATGACATATTAATGATAGAAAAATAGCAAAATTTGAAATTTATGGTGGAAAATAAGTTTATCTTCCAGGAAATAAGTAAATACAGAATTAAAAACAAATCTAAAAGTTGCAGTTATAGGCTTCTTTTAAATATGTCAGATAAAGAGAGATACAGTAAAACAGACTGACAGATGAAAGAAATGTTCTGAACAAACATCATTATATGAGTCTATATTTCCTGTAATCTTTGTTTTTTCATACTTTGATACAATGGTTATTGGATTTTTTGACAATTTATTTCTCTTCATCACGTGATAAATGACATCTGCAACCATTTGAAGATCACGTGGTATGACGTCATTCATTTTCCATGTGGTTAATTCGTATATACTAACTTCCTGTGTCTCAGACTGGAAAAAACAGAACATTTATTTTAATATTTTACACTAAATACAAGATATAAACATGCAATTCAAAAAGAAGATACATGTTTAACGCATTATTTTAAAAACAATTAGGACCCATATACATTTCAATAATACATGTGCATTGCTATAAAAAAATGTAAAATTGGTAGTAAGTTTTGTTAGGAAATTTTTTTTAATGAAATGAAAACAATCTTTAATCATTTCTTTATTATAATTTACCTTTATCATTACATTAATAACAAGTTTAAACAAAAAAGGAAGTTTTATAAAGTTTTATTAACCTCATCATTCTTTATCAGTATATCAGTTTTTTGGACAGAAGGTGTTATTGTCGAGGAGGATGTCTTGGTAACCGTATATGATTCAACATTGATTGAGTTTTCGTCTTTAGGGAGCCATTCCCGTGACTACAAAAGAAAAGAAAACACAGTTTTATTTACTTAAAATGGGTTAAAATTTAACAGAGGTCTGCTCTCTTTTTTCAGTTTTCTACAATTTCTGTAGCTTATGTATAAAATTTTCCAAATGTGTTTTTTTTTGCACTAGATCCATCTTATTCGTCCAGAGATCTATAAGTACCATAATCCAGGAATCATCTATAATTTGTATGGAACATATTTACAGTGAATAAAAAAACATTTAGGACAGTAAATGTGTGTACTAAGGACTCTCTGTCTAATTTGTCCAGACTTCAGCAGAGTTAAATTAAATGTTATCAATTTTAAAACCCTTTGAATATAAATCCTGTAACTGGTCTAGCATACCGATGGTATATCCTTGAGAGGGTTGATAGATACGAGAGTGTTGGATTCGTGGTCCACCAGAAGTCGGAGGAAATCTATGGCCTGACCCTCCACGGGGTACTGGGCGGCAAACAGGGCGTTGTTATCACAGAAAGACTGAAAGGGAAGATACATCAAGCCCTTCATGCAGGTGAGTACAACTTCTTTAAATGTTAAGACACACTCTCCAATAATACATGTATGTTGTTTTTTTCATCAATTTATAAATAAGTTCTCACAAAAAAGTATTACATTCATGTCCAGGCACTTTTGAAAACTTTCCAAGGAGGTTTTCTCCAGATTCCAACTTAAAAGCAATTTTAATTTCTGATAATGTAAGTTTTAGAATGTAAATTTTGGAAAAGGCTTGAAATAATTACAAATTAATTAATTAAGAAGTCTCAAAGTTACAGCACGTTTTATATAGATGATCTACAAGGAAACACAAAACAGATATTTGAGACACGTGATATATTAAAATCATTGTTAATTTTACCAAATAAATCAAGAATAAAAGTAAAACTACTTTGTGTTGTATTGAACCCTCACATAGAGTCATTGAGTTGTACTCACAGACACGAAGACAGCGTTGTAGTAATAAGTTCGTCCTTCAACATACGAGGAAAGGGCCACCTTGTACCTGTCAACTAAACCACGTCTCATCAATTAATACATTTTATCAGGTTTATGTAACTAATTTGTTTATTCAAAATAAGCAAGTCTCAATTATATTAAGTAAAATCTTTAATAACAGACATGCTCTTCTATCATTTGTTGATTAGGCATTAATTACAAAACAAAAATTGAATTGAGGTGCACGGAAATGAATGTTTTTATGAAATAGAAATTTTATTATATCAATAAATTATATGGTGGAAATGTACATTAAATCGTTTGAAATAGAATATCAAACGAAAACTCTTTCTTTGAACAAGACATTTCGAGATAATTTTTCAGGAAAGATGATGACAGAAAGAAGAACTCATTTTACTTGTAGCAGGAATTTTATTCGAATAAATGGAAGAGTCCAGCACCCACCTCTTAAATACTGAATATTCAATTTCATTGAAATTGATGCTGTTTAGGTGGAATATCTTAGTACTCATGTAACATTAAAATTAAGCCAATTAATTCACAATACAACTTTGCATTCCATGGAGGTTTAATTCACTTCTAAATAAGCTTGATAGTAGGAATGATAATAACCTGGTAGAACCTCCTTTGTGTAGTTCAGCTCTTTGTGTGACAATCCAGACTCCATGTCAGCTTCTAGATATTTCTTTTTAGTGGACAGAAGCTCCTTTAGAAAAAAAAATGACTCGTAAATCACAAACTTTAATTTGAAAAATCTGGTTTGACTTAATATTTATACATTTCCTAAATATACCCTGTACTTAAAAAATTTTCTTTTTTCCCAATTTTTTTAAGGCTTATAATAGGTAGCCTTTTACTAGCCAGTAAATCATCATTGCATTCATGCTTGTAAAACAAATTCTTGATGGTGGGTTTCTTAAACCAAATTTGACTTTCTTTGGAATCATTCTCTAAAGGAACACTGGATTGATGTCACTACAAGGTTTTTATAATGCTATTCCTATTACGCTTTCAATTTATATAAAAAAAGACTTCATCTCTCCTCTCCCGCTGCCCTTGCTTTCGCTCGTCCGTCTGTCTTCTCCTCTTACTCTGGCAGTAGTTTTATATAATTGTTCAACAATTCTCTATGCTTACTTCGAATTCTGATGTCAGTTCGGAACCACTCGGATCTTCTCTTTGTTTCTTTAAGAAAGATACCTTATCCTTCACCACTTGTTTCCCTTTGAATGATTCGTTCAATGCAAAATGAAGACAGACGTATTGGTCCTGAAATATAAGACCTTCTTCATGAGTATAATGTTTCAGTCTGGATACGGATATGGAGTGGGCGGAACTGTCATTATAGATGTTTTTCTTTTACTATTTTTTTGAAAGATAATTTAAACGTCATAAATGTCGTATTGAGTGTAAATACAATAATTTTTTTTCATTTTAAACCATATAATAGTAAAGTTTCATATATTACTTAATGTGAAATAACTGACAGCTTTTATAAATCTGTGTTATTTAAATACAAGTTAAACATATCATAAGATCTAGCATATTTTAAGAACTATAACTTCCAATGACTTCTTTTACATAAAATTGTTGCGTGGTTCTGTCGTAGAAATATTTAAGACTTATAATGTTCATATTTTGTATCTCTTCCTTAACGGACATCAATATTTATACCCATAGTTTGCGTATATTTTATAATTTTAATAGTACAATGTATCCACACTTTGATACACCATATGCATGTTTTTACAGTACTCATTTTAATTTGTGCTATACGATATAACATAACTTGGGGCAGTTTAGGCTTTTTATGCCTCGCAGTTTTTAAAAACGCGTAAATTGTCCCAAGTTATGTTATATCGTATAACATAAGTTGAAATAAGCTTCATTCTTTATAATTTAATTTCATTGTAGATAAAAAGACTAATTTTCTCTAGAAAAGGCTTTAAATCGGGCCTTCAAATTGAGTATATTTTAAATGTAAGGTCAAGTAATACGTTTTTGAAATAGCTCATTGTGACGTAGGCAACTTATGTTATACGAAATGGATTAAATATTTTACCAAGTCACCTGACGTGACACGATAACAATTAAATTATTCATTAATCAATCAAGCTTACTTCGACTTATATTATACGATATAACATAACTTGGGGCAGTTTACGCTTTATAAACCGCGAAGCGGTTTATAAAAAGTGTAAACTGCCCCAAGTTTTGTTATATCGTATATCGTATAATATAAGTTGAAATAAGCTTCATTCCTTATAATTTAATTTCAGAGTAGACAATAAGACAATTTTCCCCCAGAATAAGGCTTCAAATTGATCAAAAGAAACGTAAAGCGGAGTAATACGTTTTTTGACGTAACTCATTGTGACGTAGGCAAGTTATGTTATACAAAATAGATAAAATCATTTATCCTATCAAATGACGTGTTACAAATAAAATTAAATTATATAATAATAATATTTTAGTTTTGGTATGATTTAATTAATACAAATGTCGTGATTTCAGATACTTCAAAATTTAAATTGTTTTAGCACATCACATATATAATATATTGTCCATTCTATAAATGTTAAGAATGTTATTAAATGAAAGTAACACTTGGAATCTTAATCCATTTCTCACAAATTAATTGATATTTTTCGATTAGTTATACAATTCTACCTTACCACATTTTGTATCATATTCATGCGATCTTCTCTCATCATTTTAACGTAGTCTACAGCGTTAAATGTTCCATTTGAAGAACCACAGCGATACAACTCATTTAACGCCAGGAAGGTCCCAGTGCGCCCAATACCTGCACTACAATATAGAAAAAAAACATCAGAATATTATACACTGTAACTAAAATACAGAATAATGCAAAAATATACCAAAACGCAAAAAACAACATTAAGGTATAAAATGCAAAAATACTAGAATTGAAATGTGGATGAAAATGACAAATTACTGAAATGTTTTAATGAAATGAGAGAGACATCCGGAATAGAAAGTCGAACCATAATTACCTACAATGGACCAATACAAAACTACTCTTGCTTTTTTCCTCGATCCGCGCCACGTGTTTATGAAAGATCATCAAATCTACGGGGTCAGGGACACCATGATCTGGCCAATGAGTGTAGTGCATTTGGATCACGTGCCTAGTTGTTGATTCCTTTTGAAGAGTAATACATCATTCTGTACATGTATTTAGCAAAAATAAAGCATTTGCCAATTAGAATTGTACTTTCAAATGCATATAGTACATGGTACGTACGGAATTTCGTCGCACTTGAAGATGACGGATGATGTAATAAGCGTATTGCTTTTCTTTCAATAAGCGAACATCAATGTTTCCGTACGTTGTTTCTTCTCCCAAGTCTGGCCAGTATTTATCACATTTTTTCTACAATGACAATAACATTTAATCAGCTGAAAAGACTCCTAACTGGGTAGACCAACAGAGTGTTAAAAGATTAATTTCAAATTTGAAGCCTATTAGCTTTTTGTTGCCTTTGTTTTCACATGAGGATGCAAATAAATAGAGAATTATTTGAAAATGCATATATATTGCTAGAGATTATATAAAGAGTCTTTTAGAAGAAGTGTCTTGGATAAAAATTAAGTTCTCAAAGACTATCTAGCACTTGAGATTTAAAATGATAGAATCCTGTGCTCCAACAGGATCCCAACATCACTGCAAATAACTTATAATTACTATCAGCATGATCAGTAACAATTATATTTTATTTCATGAAGGATATGGAGATAACGAACAGTATCCAATACCAAAGTCCATAAAACAATACAAAATAGGAGTATAGCAAACACGGACCTTCGAAACATCGAAGGTGGGATCAGGTGCCATGGACGAGTGAGCATCTCCTGCTGACCGGTCACACCCGGCATGTGCTCCTTGTCATGATTGGGAAATAAAGGAAAAATCTGTCGTCAATTCAGTGTATAAATAATGGACTAACAATAAGTATGAAAAACGTCAGTCACCACATATCTCGATGATAAATTGTATTTGCGGACAAGGTCATTGTATCGACCGTAGAATTTACAAAATGATGACTTTAAACGAGATTGGTGATATTCTTGTTTCACCAACTTGCTTGTCAATAATTTACCTCGTATTAGAAATGGTTCATATGTAGAGCATTCTCTTGCGTATCGAATCAACCGAGATATATACACTCCACATACAGGTGATGAAGGTGTATTGCTCCATAAGTAAGGGAAGTTGACAATAGAAAAGTTATAAAGTCATCACGTTTGTCATATACATGTAGCTTGGTTATTAGATAACCATTAACGTCTTCTTCATGTAAAATATCCAAGTATGAAACAGAGGTGTCAGACTCTGTTGTATCTTTTATCTCAAGCTCACCAGGATATATCGTATCAAATATCGATATTCATACATTTTTTAAGACATTAATACACTGTTGACATATTATACCTTGCCTCCTTCTACTAAGTTAGTCAGCATGATGATAACAGTCACGTTCTCCTGCCAGATCATCAACCAATGATCCGCCACCGTGTTAGGTTTTGGGCCTGATTGAAATATAATGGAGATTACCAATAGTATTCAAACTCAAAAGTTTACCAAACAATACGAATCAGGAGCAGAGAAGACATTGATCTCTTAACCAGCAGATGTATATCGTTGATGGGTCAAATAATCGTGAAAAATGTAAGCGTAGCAGTATTAGAAACAGATACAAAACAATTGATAAAGTGATCCTCATTTGAGTCATTTCTTATAGATAGAAAGTAGAGAATGTTTAAATGATTTTTTTTTATTCTGTAGGCAATAGTTTTGGGGCTTAACCTTGTGAGGCAATATATCTTCTATTTCCATCTATGTCCTACAATAGACACGAAAGGAAAATTATAATTTGATAAAAAGGATATAATAAAAACAAAGAAATAAATCAGCTTTAACAATATTGACATTGATCGTAGATATCTAGGAATATAAATGAAAAAATGATAAATTCATGTATTAGTATGCACGACAAAGATATAGAAGTTTACTAGAAATTGAAGTTAATAATATTATATGATTCTGGTTTTAATTAGTACATGTGTTACCCTTATAAAGTTAGCGTTGATGTAGTCGTTCTCCGGAGACTCAAGAATCACACGAGAATGGTCATCTACAGAAATATAACATTCTAATACACACGTGGCATATTGTCAAGGGGAAAAACTTTTATATCGTTATACAACATGTACAATGGCAAATGCTAGAAATTTTTTTTCTTAGACTCTATTTGTGAAATCTCAAGACCATACAAAAATGGAAATCATTTAAATTTGAAAAAATCTTGATGACTACGTAACAAACATGCATAAAATTTGTATTACATGCATAAATCTTAATTACATTTTTAAAAACTAGTTCATATTGTTTGTTTTTTTCAACATTGTAAAACTGTTCCAAAGTAAAATGCATATTTTTTTCAAAAAGAGATTGGTCTATACTTTATTCTCTTTTTCTTTGACTAATTTCTCCTTTGGGCAGAATATGAATCGATATCTATGAAAAAGTCCCTTACATGGAAACGTGGTTTTGAATCTGTTTCTGGATTTGTTTCGGGGTTCCTTGGCTACTGTGCACGGAATACTGCTCTGTTCTCCATATGGTATATCCTGTTATTGTCAATTATTGCAAATATCGATCAAAATCATTTCTGTGTAATCACTAATGAATGTACCTGTGTCTTCGAACTTTTCAATATGCAGAATGAAAAAAGGAATATGATGGTTTTGATAAAAACAATACCTTGAATTCTTTTAGGAAAATTCTGAAACTGTCTCTTGACTTGGTTTTTATGACAGTAGAAATACTACCGACTCTTATATGTTTGGAGGCGAGATAAAACGAGTCATGTGATATATTAGTATTATAATACAAGGAGGATGTATTGCTGCCTTGGCTTTGACGATCTTCCTGTTCCTCAGGCGTATCATCCACCAGCTTAATGGAACTGTTAGTGACTGAAGATAGAAACACGGAAAATAAATCAAACAAGGTTTGTTTCATATAACATATATCCAAAATGAAATAAATATCTCAGTGTCCGGTAATCAATGTTAAAATGTTAAAACGTAAGCGCTTTCATTGTTTTCTTCAGACGTTTTTATTTTACGTACATAACATATCAGTCTTATTCAAGGCACGTGGGTGCATGTGTCAATATTTAACTGAAAATGATCTCATTCTGAACCTGCAATCTATGGAATTATTTCCCAGAACTTCTACATTTATAGAAATGAGGTTTGTGTCTTCATTTGCTTTTAACGTCTTTGATTTTTTCATCAATAATTTGCATGTACATGAACGAATCATTTTGTGCACCTACACATTTTCATTTGGTTTTGATAAAACCAAGATTCTCAGGTTTAATTAACGATTTCCTTTCAACATTTCTACCCCTTGTTAACTATTAAAATTTCAAGTAATGATTAACGATCTCCACACCCTAAAAATTTAAATTTCAGAAAGAAAAAAACGCATTTCTATGAATTTGAACTCCTCGTCATGTCTGGAAAAAGAAACCTTATTGCAGAAAAGACATACTCACCGCCTCTGTTAAGTTTGATACTTCGTTTTAGACTTCGTTGATACACGAAATCCTTGTACTCTGGTGTTTGCTTTTTCTGAAACCTTGTAAAGACAAATTCACGAGAAGGTTAATTGATAAGAAAATGAGACTAGAAGATTTAAAATAAGAAAAACAGTTTGTTTGCAGTTGCCTACCGAACCACCAAAAACTGCTCCCGGATCAAATTTTTCAGCCATTATTTGAAAAGAAATAAACTTGTTTAATTTTAATTTTTTTTAATTTTCTGTTTTTGTATTTGCTAATAACATGAATATTAAAGTAGCATAAAGCATGTTGAGCTTATTAACATTTTATAACAATATGAAGATCTCTTTGATGTGTAACCCAACAAAAACTTGATATAACAAAAATCTAACTAAAATAAATCATACCTATAGACACACACTTAAAATTAATAGATTGGCAACTGCAAACAAACAATTTTGTGAGCTTGGTCAAATCTTTTTAACAAAAAAAATTAATAGAAAAGTATTGCTAGTGTTTGAGATACCAGACATTGTTTGATTTTCTTAATTTGTATGTTTTGACCTACTTATAATGGTTTAGCAAACTCAACAATTTTCCTTTCATTCAAATTATCTAAGCAAAATTTAGATTTTTGAAAAAAGTAAATTGTATTAACTAAAAGCGAGACTTTATTTTTATCATGCTTTTCTAAAAATGTCTAAAATTGGAACACAGTCATTAAAGACAACCAAAGACACAAAAATAAGGACCAGTTTCTTTCGACGACGTATTTTTTTTCATTTACATTTTTAAATATAAAAAAGGTTTTTGAGAAAATGACAAGAAATAAATACTTACTTGTTAACAAGGACAACAGCAACACCAACGATAATAACAGCAAAGAGTACCCCGGTTGTAATTCCAGCTATAGTACTTCCGGATACCTCTGGACCGGAAGGGGAAGCACCACGCGGATTAACTACAATTTCTGTTAAATAAAACTTCAAGTACAGGTTATTTAAAGATTTAAAACAAAATCTACGTTTAAATTTAAAAACTATATCATTTCTTCTAGAGTTTTAGGAATTATGACATAATTACACCTACCTTGATTACATCGTAACCCCCTCCATCCAGGAGCACAGCCTCGGTCACAGCTCCCGTCTCTATGGTTACAAGGATCGTCATCCAGGCAATTCCTACTACAATTTTCTGTACACATATTCCCATAAAATCCTGGCATACAACCTAGTATGACAAAATAAAACGTCATTTCCGGAAAAAGTTTAGATAGACATTGTTGGTTGAAGCTGCAAGAGTTGGAAGCGAGCGTTGGCTTTATTATTTCATCTCCTCTATTATTCTTTCCATGCACATACTTCCTTAAACCAAACTCCTTTGTATTAGCCCTTTTTCATCCCCTCTTTATACTTACTTTTATTCTCATTTTAATCAGACTTACTCTGGTCACAGGCGTTTCCCAGATATCCCGGCAGACACCCGTTTCTACATTCCCCTATCTGTATATCACAGTTCTCGTTATTGGCGCAGTTACCACTACAGTTCTGTGTACAACCTAGGCCGTATTTCCCAAAAGGACAGTCTACAACAGAAGGAAATAGGGCATTTGTAAATACTCACACGAATGGTAAGACACATACTCACAAGACACAACCATTGGTGTTCACACTCTGAATAATAACAAAGTACACTACTTGTATAAGGAGGAACTTTAAGTTTGATATTTTATCTACGGTTTTATTCCCAACTTTACCCTCAGTGAAAGGATGAAATAATTTATGTTTCATATTTATAGTCGCTGCCTGTTTTTGTATAAAAACGTTAAATAATAAAAATTGAATTAATTGTTATACCGCAGTCTGGTGGTTCCAGATGACCAGGCAGACAGTACGTGCATCCGGAAATGATGTCACAATTTCCACATCCGAAACTACACTCCGTGCAATTCTCTCCGTAATGGTTGAGCTCACAACCTTAAACCAAAAAGGTATAAATTTTAATCATCAACGTATTTTTATGTGATACTTCTGAAATTATTGTATCAATTTGATCGAATTTATGAAATTTTTTTATTTAGTTGAAATGACGCAATATATATTCCGATGCTAAGAAATATTTTTTTTAAGAATTCTTTGAGAATACAAGATTAAACAAACGAGATAAAAATGAGCAATTGATACTCAGGAAAGAAAACAAATTAGCAAGTATTTTCTCATAATCTAATATAAAGTCAAAAAATTCTACAAAAGTTAAAGGAAAAATTACAAACTTTGAAAAAAAAATATCACAAAATTTATTAAAAAATATGAAATGAATGTTACTTGACTTAGACAAAAACTTTGTTTAATTAAAAAAAAATGATCACATACCCAAAATTTGAACTTCACAGATCTCTAGAAAGATTTGGCCAAAATCATCAGGCGATGCGGGACCGTTCTTGAAGAACCAGACGTACCTGGCGACTCGTGTACAATTGTTAAAAGTCGGGATCGGGATGATGGTTTGTAAGCCAGCGTTATGCCGGAAGCAAACTTCATTTGGTGGGATTAATGATGAGTCATTTGTGACGCCGATAATATAACCACGAAATCTTTCAGTATTTAACCGAGGTGATCCTCCTAAATTGAAAATAAAAATGTTTTAGAAAAAGGGCATAAGGCATATTATGCCAAAAAGGCATAATAAACTTATGTACGGTAATATTGACCATGACTTGCTAACTTCGAATTGTGTTTCGGTACCTGAAATGTTGGTTCATATAAGGACGTGTACTTTTATATTTTCATATCCCGGGATAATTAAATCTATAGTAAATATAGGGATATAAGGATAATAATAAATATGGATATACGTAGTCCTGCATGTACCAAGTATGTATATTATGTTTGCAATCAAGAAGTCAGTTTGTTGTTTCATAACAATTTAACAAAAATAAGTAAGTTTTTTTTCTACTTACATGGAAAGAAAAACTACATATACTGTAAATTCCTTATTTTTCGCGAGCACTTATTATCGCCAAATGGCTGTTTACCGTTAATTCGCGAGAATAATTATTCGCGATGGACGGTCGATCAAGAGAATTTACATGGATTTTAGAACCATAAAAATAAAAGCGAATAATTTTATTTCGCGAGTGATGCTTCTCGCGAAATTACTCGATAATTAATTCCTCGCGTATAATTAGGAATATACAGTGGTACTTGATATCGCGATTACTTAACTTCGCGAAACTCTTTCGCAATGGAGGTAGGAAACGTCTGTTGAATGGGGACAAATATGCTATTGAATACAATGCAAGATCGATCATTGTAGAATTTATAAGGACAGATATTAAAGGTACTTGGACACAGATTTGAAGTCAATATTTTTTCTATAATATTTAAACTTATATATTTTTAAGTATTTCACACAAAAATTAATCAAAAGTCTTATTTCATTTAAAAGCTATTAAAACTTCAAATTTTTTGGCGGGTTTGATTGACACACCCTGGCACTTTCACAAATTTTAACCTTAGTCGTAATCCTTAGAAAAAGTGGCAATTTTGTTGTGTATTAATGAGAAATATTAAAACTTTTATCCAGAAAAATAGTTTTATTCCAAGTACAACATGTTAGAAAGCAAAAGTCCCTCACAAGTATTGTCATTCCGAACTACGGGTTGCTTACAGAGTATAGCAAATCGAGCACACTCGTGTTATGTACACAGTTTTTGTAAACATGGCTCGAGTTCTGTTATTGTTTATATTTAGAAATCACCGGGTGCGTTCAACCGTCACAGTCTGCTTACCACAACTGCACGGACTGACAATACATTGTGTGTTTGTTTTACTTTCGAACGTGTCTACTCTGAATTTTCTGGATTATAGTATAATATTTTTCATTTAATACACAACGAGATTGCCACTTTTCCTAAGAATTAAAAATAAAATTAATTTTGTGAAAGTGCAGGGATGTGTCAATCAAACCCGCCAAAAATTTGAAATTTTAATATCTTTTATATGAAATAAGATTTTTAATTAATTTTTATGTGAAATGCTATTAAAATATAGAAGTCGTAATATTATAGAGATAATAATAACTTCAAATCTGTGTCCAAGTACCTTTAAGTAAAAAATCCTAGTGGAATACATTGCTAAACAGTCGCTGAACCAGCTTAATCAATTTTAGAGAGGAGCTAATCCTAAAATGGTAACATTTTTAACGATATTTTTAACTAAGTGGACTCTTCTTATTAAATTTTCATTGAATATCGTCACATTTTAAAGCTGATAAAATATTCTAAACTTTTCTTATTTGACAATCTACTATTTCGAGTTCAATCCTTGGCAATGCATTGTACTTTCGGCACGAAATTGGTCGAATCATGTCACGACTGTAAACAATGTCATGTGCCCCAGAAATCTTGCGAGATTTAGAGCTTTCTCGACTCCCCCGCAAAAGAGCGGTAGTAAGTTAGATAACTGCGAGGTACTCGCGATATTACGTATAATACTCAGAAACATGTAACTGGACTCCACATCTGCTAAAAAATGTTATTGTCTATTATCATTATTACATTTTTTTCCGTTTTCGCAAAACAAATTTCTGGATATGTTCATCCAATTATGCCAAAAAAAAATATATTTTCTGTAAAAAGGTTGCATTGATGACATGAAGTACTTATTCTGTTGTAACATAAAATCACTGAAAATTCAGTAAACAGCACATTTATTCCTAATATTTAAGACATACAATGCAGTATTTCAAGGAACAAAATACTTTTTACAAGAAGTTCAAATTTTCCGCCAAACTTACGATCGTTTCGGTACCAGGTCTGGACTTGGTAGAGACTGTAAACTCTACGCAGGTCGATCCTAAGCCAGGCGAATCCTTGTTCGAGGCCTGAATGAGAACAGGATCCGCCAGGTGTCGCCTGTAATAAGTCGGGTCTACCGTCCACGGCTCTAACTCCTTCGTATCCTCCCGGAAGTATGGAACTCAATATGGCGGAACTGAAGTTTGGAATCACTAGGGGATCTTCAAAATTGATTTAAAGTATTGTTAACTCATTCTTACATACTTTGGCAAGAAACGTGATACTTTAGGGGAATGATACTTACATGTGTCAAAATTTAACCTTTTGCGACTTATTTTTTTAACTATGTAAATTCAAAACTTGTAATAGTGTACAATATTGAGTACCTTCTTAATTTAGGAAAAAATATCGCAATTGAATCTGCTAAATTACCGAAAGTAAAGTCGCCAAGAAAAAGGCTGGATATATTATACCTAATAAAGTTAAAATTTTCATATTCCTTTGTATTGCAAAAATGAAATTAGCAGACCTGCCTACCCTTCCGCTTTTGGTGTTATTCTTCCGCTTTTTATCACAAAATTACGCTATTACGCCACTCATATTTATTTTACGCTTTTGATATTTTGGTTAAAATTCCATTATGAACGGCTAAATTTAGAGTTAAAGTACGACATGTTGAAATGAAATGAGAAGTTTTAGTAAAAGAAAGGAATAGAGGACCAGTTCGATAATGTACGTAATATACCAAGTAGTTACATGTATACTGGTATGGCGAAGATACGCAAGAAGACGAGAACGCACTACTTACTTTAACTACTAGTATTAAACGATGTTGAAAAACGTACATCCATTTTTTATGCTCTATTAAGTTTCTTTTTTCATTGCTTTAGACAAGATAGAGAAATGTGAGTGTTCAAAAGATATAAAAAAAAAACCAATGTTATAATGAACACGATTTGTTATAGCATTCAAACGCAAGCCTTCAATTAAGTAATTTGATGCAAATTGATTAAATGCTCCATTAAGGGTGTACGGTTGAATTGAGTTTGATATAGGATACTGATATTTTACAACACTTTTTTGTCAATAGATGGTTTGAAAAATTCAGAAAATGTTATACCAGCTTTATTTAGTAATGTACAATTTCAGTTGTTTCAAAAAAAGTATTATAGTAAAGAAAAAAAATTGGAAAACATGATTGATTACGCTTTTACCTCTGAAATTCCTCCAAAAATGTACTGAAATTACACCCTTGCAATGAAAAGGGTAGGCAGGTCTGAATTAGGCAAACAAATAAACAAATATAAGTCACTGATTTAACGCCCCCTAAAAGTCACTTATAATCCCATATTTATATCCCTGATCCTAGTCTAAAAAATCGGGAAATACCTGGTACACATGTAAATAGGTTGCTTCAAGCAATGTATGAATATGAACAGTATGCCTTTTTTTATTTGTTTGTTTGTTTGTTTGTTTGGATGGGGGGTTTTTTTGTAATTCCCCTTTGGCATTGCTTTTCTTGGGGATTTTTGAAGTCAGATCTCAAGTTCACAAATTCAGGCATTGAAAAATTGAAAATGCTCACAGAAATGTCTCTGATTTCTCAAAGTTATTGCGTTTTACGTACAGAAATTATTGATACTTCATAAATGAGGAAAGTAGTTAATCTTTTTTTAGGTAATGAGAATAAAGCAACATAACATGCATTTTCTACTTGAAAGTATGTTTTCATGCATTTGAAGAAAGGCACGACATTTATACTTAAATGGTAAGTTTAAATACCTTTTATTAATTATTCTATGTCGCGTAATGAATAAATAAAAGTAATTCTTTTTATTTCAAAACACCATAAATCATTTCTACTTGTATATTCATGCATATAAACGCTGGTAAACTCGGCTAAATAAAAGGGAATCATTGAAATTTTTTTTTAATTTATTTTTTTTTATATTAAATACTTCTATGGGGTAAAATGATCATCTGATTATGAGACCGTTTTAAATAACCTTAAATCACTTTGAGATAATTGAAATGAAAATTCTTTCATTTTGAGACTTTTTTAAATTAAATAATAAATGAGTTATCCTTCCTGGCTGAGGATCCGATCTCCTTAAAGCAGAAATAAAAATTATGACTCGGTCATAGACAGACAGACAAATGCCAATCGGAAAATTCACTATTTTTAGTCAAAAAGCTCCAGATTATTTGTTTTCTTGATGAAATTAAAAGATAGATCAATATCATGAATACTTTTTCTTCTGTAATTATGTAAAGACATATTTTTTACCTTTAGGTACATCTTGTAATAAAAAATTCTATATTAAAAGATATGAATCGTACCATAAGAAATGATACATCTTGTAATAAAAAATTCTATATTAAAAGGTATGAATCGTACCATAAGAAATGACTTGTTCTGTCAGAAAAATGTAAAACACCAGGGCTCGGAATGATGACGATCTCTGTTTAACAGTCCTTGGCATGCTACAAAAAAGATGGAGGCTCTTAAACAATTATTTCACTAGATAGACATTATTGCAAGTTAAAAGAACCCTCTTTACACTGCACACAATAAAGTTCTGATTCTATGGTATTTTTCTGCAGTTAGAGTGATCTGCCCTAAGATCTTAATTCCAATAAATAGAAGTTTACATTTGTTACTCAACTGGTTATCAGTTCAAGTTCTCTTAACATTTTAAAAACCAGACAAATTACTTGAACATGTTATTTTCATGTTTTTTTCTCCATAGGTTTATCACTGCTACTGTGTTCTGTTTGAACATTTTTCCATGGAGTAAATGTCATGAACCATGTAATGAAAATGAGAACGATAAGCTCAACATTCACACTTTTATTTAACATAATTTTCTTTAAGTCCCAAAACCATTTTGCACAGATGTATCGAGGGTCCTTAATTGTGTAATAATAGTGACTTAATATTTGAGGAATGATAAATTAAAAATACAGAATACTTTTTTCAAATTTTAGGAATGATAAATAAGTTTAAATCAAGATTTTAACCCTCTTAATAACACAAAATTTATTAAGTTTTATATGTCAATTACACAAAATTGCTAAAAACTAAATGTAAGGTTAATATAAGGTACATGTACTTGTAGAATTTGATAATTTTGTTATTTTTGAAAACAGAGCACGTCATTTAGATCTCTACACAACAAGATTATTTTCTTCTAGTTCTTGAAAGTTTGATGAGTCATATGCATTTTCTAAATAGTTATATATAAAAAAAATAATAAATACATCAACTTTCGACATGGTGAATCCATAACATTTCACGGGTTTTAATTCATCATATTCCAAAAAATTTACCTTACACGTTTAAACCATACTAACGTCCATACAGAGTTTATGATGATGAGGTAATCTCAACTTGTTTCTCACACTATGACATGGAGCGGAAAATGACATTGGTCACCGGAAGTGTTTATCTAAACCCAAGTACCAGCTCTGTACATCATCAACGTATTGACACACTGTCTTCTCTCCCGGATTAAAGAAGAATTAAAAACGTGAAAATATTTTATTGTGGGTAACAAACTGTTTCGTTTTAAGGAACTTCCCAAATTTCTCAAGATTTTTACATAATATTTTTTCATCTTTTAATATGCTTAAATTTTATTCGAAAAGGAACAAAATTAACTTATTTTAATCAGTCATTTCAAGTTTCTATAGTCAATGAAAAATCTTTAGATATTTACGGAAATTAGCCATTCATTTCGTTGCCAGTTAATTGATAAGGTTAATTTCTTTCAGTTTTTTTCTATCATTTTTAAGAACCTTCCTAGATTCCGGAAGTGTAGCTAACAACATTATTTGTAAGGTATGAAGTATTTTTGAAGGAAATAACGAAAGGACCTCGAGTGTTAAGGAAGAAAGATGACTGCATCGTGTGCTTAATGTAAGTAAGTATAGATGTACGAATTCAACAACTCGCTCAAAAAGAATATTAATTGCACTTGAAACAATATATTGTATTTATGCTATTGCATTTTGCAAAAGAATGTTTTATGAACCATTTCTAAAAAATATGCATGAAATATGAAAATATCGAACAGTAATACAGTGTATCCCCAAAAGTCTACTATAAATCAGGAGCAGGGCCATTAAATCGATTAACCTGCTTTAATCTGCAAATTGCTAAAAATGTAACAAGAATTGTTAAATGGAAATTGCAGAGAGAAAAAAGATAAAACGACCTTCGTTGAATACATGTATTTTCTTTTTGAGACATTTCTATTGAAATGCAACTAACAAACGACGTCATTTTACTTTACATTATAGACATTCAAAATAAAAAAGAAAAGAAAATGGATCTTATTTTTATTATTGAAAAGGTATCTAGAAATAATTACGAACAGGTGTGCAACGTTTTTCAAGGTTGAAAGTAGGATGAATATAAGGCCATCATTAAAAATATTTTTGTTTGATACATGTATGTACCCAGACCCATATTTTTCAAGGTGTGTAGGTAGGTAGGTAGTATTTTTTTTTTTACAGTATTGAACAAATTGAACTGTATAAAAATTACAGACTTGGAACATGTGGACATTTATTAATGTTTTCACTACACACTGGTTAGCTATATACAGGTGTATTGCTATAAAAATCAATCAAAAAGCATCCTAAAGAGCTTGTATATCTTATAACTAGCTTTAAAATGAAACAATTTCTAACGAAACTAAAGAAAAAAATTCAAAGTGCTGAAAAATTTATTGGGTGGGGACTTTTCGACATGTTAGTAGGAATTCATCAAACAAATCAATTTTATTTTTGGCCTAAGGTGCATTATCCTTTAAATTTCAATGTTTTGCTAGCGTTGAAGCAACGAGGGAGATGTACTAAAATTTCAAAGTTTATTGTTCATTGATTTTTAATCTTAACACATCAGCTGCAGTCAGAGGTTATTTTAAGGAGGAACCAGAAAGTATATATAAATTCCAGATACATTCAACACTGTTCAAGGAGACGGACTTTTTATTGACTTATAAACAGGTTTTAAAAACAAGGAAGAGTAGGGGAACGGTATTGCCAACGACAAAAAAAGATTACATCGTAAAAAGTATCATTTTTAACTAAAGTGTAGAATTATTAATGTCGTCTTTTATACAGTTGTTTTGGATTTTATTTATTTCCAGGTCAAACGCGTTAAATTAATTAGACCTTTACATTCATTCAAATAAAAGCTGCGGCGTTGTAAGATTATAAATTTGAGCAAATGACTTGTCAGTGTACCCATAGTCTTGCTAAAAGAGTGAACATGGAACATCATAAATAAGAGGATCGGTTCCTTTGTTCACCTAGTGTATAAGCAGATGATGTACATGCTACTATTATTTTCCAGATTTCAGGACACAGTTAATCAATCAAGTCACAATTCATTTATATTTATTATCCTTTACAACTTTGTTTACACCTATATAAATTACAATTTTTTTTAACAAGATAAAATCTTTGTGTTCCTTTCTCATGTGAAAGTTTAGAGACGCTGAAGCTGACACTCCAGGGACATTGGTTTATTCATCCGGGCTTTTTATCGCTGTTTCTAGGCTTGCTGGACCATTATCAATGTCATGACTGATAGAGGTTACGTCTGGCAACCGACTGACAGCTCTGTGACCCATATTGTCAGCTTTTGCCTAAACAGAAACAGAATTAATAAAATGTCGAATTGCGAATTTTTCTCAGCGACAGTAAAATGGCGTTTTTTGGTTGGATTTGTATATTTAAACCCCAAAAAATATCATTCACAAAAAAGGATGTTATTTTTCTAATACATGAAAGGATAAGTTCAAACAGATGTTTTGACCTTTAGTAGGAATAGCTGTTTCTTCAGCTTGGCAATGCTTTCTTCCTCTTGCCTTCTCTAAAAAAAATCAGAAAATTGTTATTCTGATATTGGCAGTATTTAACACAAGGATTAAGATTCAGTAAACATTTTCTTGGAATCTTTTCTTCAAAGGTTTCTATAACTAGAGTATGATCAATAACACAGAGTTTTCTTATTTCTGATGACGTCAGTGACAGTCTACACTATCAGGTTGAGAGCAGGGTTATCTTGTTTTAATTTGTGATGACGTTAGAGTGTTCATTCTTCTACATGTAGATCATGACGGAGTTACCTCATTTTGATGACTGCAGTGACAGTATACTGTGTACCGGGTTGATAGTTGATAGCGGAATAACCTTATTTCTGATGACTTCATTGTAAGTATCAGGTTGAGAGCTGAGTGACTCTATTTCTGATGACGTCATTTACAGTATACAGTATCGAGATGAGCGCGGGACTTACTTTATCCTGATACTGTCACGGACTGTATTTAGTATCTGGTTTAAGCCGACTAATCTTATAACTGATAACTGCAATGACAGTATACAGAAATAGGTTGAAGGTAGAATTACGCTATTTCTGATGAATGCAGTGACAGTAACAGTATGGGTTTGTGGGGTGTGACCTTACTTCTTATGCCTACAGTATTGGTCTTTGGGCGGAGTTATGCTGGGTAGAGGCGGCGTCGTTACCTTGTTTCTGATTACTGCAGTGACAGTATACAGTATTGGTCGGGGGGGGGGGGGGGGTCTGGGGCGAACTTGCCGGATAGTTCGGAGTTACCTTGTTTCTGATGACTGCAGTGGCAGTATACACGTGCAGAATGGGGTTGAAGGCGGAGTTATACTTGGAAGGGGGCGGAGTTACCTTGTTTCTGATGACTGCAGTGACAGTATACAGAATGGGGTTGAGGGCGGAGTTAATCGGCAGAACCACAACCACTATCCAAGCGTAGACATCGGCCTGTACCTCAATTCCAAGAAACGTAAGCATTCCTGAGAGGAAAATTAACAATATAATAATAGAGTATCAAACTTTTTTCACCCTCACCCCCCACATAAAATGTATGAAAGTTTGGAAAAAAACAGTTTCTTGGGGGAAAAAATCTCATCCCTCCTAATGTACAGTATTCAATTACCCCAAGTGCCGAGTATACAATAAATTTATTTTTGTTGCCCTCCACCCACTAGTTTTCATGTCTCAATATGAGAGAGAAAATCTTACAAGAGACGTATAATAACAAGGCCATATATAAAATAATGTCTGTTTTTCCTCTCCCGATTCAGGGTAAAATTATTGGGTCTTTAGGTAAGTGGGAAAATCTGTTATCCAGAAAACTTCAACAAATTTGTTTATGAGATAAGAGGGGGGAAAAGAAAAGAAGTGTCATGGAATGTAAAAAAAAAAGTGTAAAAAATACCATAAAAAATAAACCTAGATAAAAAAAATTAAATATCAGAATTAGATTTTAAAACTAGATAAAATAAATTAAATTTCAGAATTAGATTTTAAAAAGTCAGCTAGTATAATATCCAAACCTCTAACACACTTGATAAATTCTAGCATAATCAATGGATCTTTTCCTTCACAATTAAAGGTCGCAAAAGTAACCCCCTTGTTTAAAAAGGGCGATAAATCAGACCCAGGAAACTATCGTCCAATCTCGATTTTACCAACGATATCGAAAGTTTTAGAGAAGCATGTAGCAGAAAATATACGCATCTTTACTTCTCACTTTGACTTGCTAATGAAAGCACAATCTGGATTTCGAGAACTTCACTCATGCCAGACAGCTCTCACAACTAACTGATGATTGGTTGCATGCAATAGATAAAGGAAATTTTGTAGGTATTACATATCTGGATTTTAGCAAAGCATTTGATCTTGTTAATCATGATATACTAATTAAAAAACTTGAATGCTATCACTTTGATCAAATATCAATTAAATGGTTTAAATCATACTTATATAATCGAACTCAAAGTGTTAAAATTGGTGCGTACACATCTGAATCACTGCCAGTCACAGCAGGTGTGCCTCAGGGCTCTATTTTAGGTCCTTTGTTGTTTCTATTGTATATCAACGATTTACCATTGTCTGTTGAACATTGTAATATTGATATGTTTGCTGATGACACTACAATGCATCTTCATGATAATAGTATTTCGCGTATTGAAACCACTCTTAATCATGAACTCTGTCAAATACAAAAATGGTGTCAACAAAATCAGATGATTATAAATACTGATAAAACAAAGTGTATGTTAATGGGAACACACCAAAAGAAATCTAAATTAGAAAACGTTAATTTTCATTTACAACTTTCCGATCATCCCCTTGAAAATGTAGAAATGCAAAAATTATTAGGTGTTCACATTGATCATAATCTTCAATATACTTGTCATGTAGATGCAGTTTGCAAAACTCTTACATATAAATTATTTACTTTACGAAAAATCAAAAAGTTTCTTCCAATGCGTACTAGAAAACTATTTTATAATGCTTTTATCCTGCCATCGATTTTATATTGTCTCTCCATTTGGGGCAATTGTCCTCAAACACACATGGACAGAATCTACAGATTACAAAAAAAAGCAGCTAGGATTATTTTAAATGAAAAATATGATACACCTTCAATGCCTTTATTTAACACTTTAGGTTGGCTAACAGTTTATGAACTTTTATATTTACAGAAAAGCATTTTAATGTACAAAATATTTCATGGAATGTCTCCTGATTATATGCATAATCTTTTTGAATTTCAAAGTTCTGGATCATACACTTTACGATCAGAAACAAATTCCGAACTTCGACTACCAAAATATAAAACAAACTTATCTAAAAATTCTTTACAATATTCAGGGGTTATTATCTGGAATGAGTTACCAATTAATATAAGAAATTCTCAATCCCCTGCAATATTTAAAAGAAGTGTTGAAAATTTTCTACTTATAAAACGCAATGATTCTGTGTGATTTTTTTTTTCTTTTTCTCTATACTGAAATGCTGATGTTTTTATTTGTTTGTAACATACTGATTGATTATTTATTGTCTCATAATTGTAATTTTATTTATTGTATATATGTATATGTGTTTTTAAAGAAGGCCCTGAGGAAGACTAGTGTTCGCACTAATCGGGTTACCTTCTCTAAATAAAGTATTATTATTATTATTATTATTAAATATTCTTCGCTGATAAGAGGGCTCGTTAAACTTAAATTGTTGATAAAAGTTACTTGCCTATGGTTCCAATTGGTATCCAACAAAAGACATCCGTCAGAACTATTGCAAACAGCGTCGTGGCCAGAGATGCTTCCCTCTCTCTTGTCTTGGTAGACTGGACTGACTTTCCAGATCTAACAACCTCCACAAATATAAGGATCTGCCCAACAAGAATGCCGAGAAAAAGTATAAAGTTGATTCCAACAAACACAATCATTGAGTATTCCCATCCGGATTTCCTGAAAACAGAAAGAGGGAGGGATATACATATACCGGACTGAGCGTAGAAATTGTCCAGATCAGCTACTGGTAGTAGAGGGATCAGAGCCAGAAGTAGAGAAACAGACCACACGGTCACCACTACAATAGCCGCGCTCCTTTTGGTAAATTTAAAACCGGAGAAGGGGTACTTGATGGCAAGAAATCTGTCAAGTGTGATCAGCAGAACGATAAAGGCGGACACTTCGCTCGACAGAGTGGCGATTACTCCGGAAAATTTACACGTTGAACTGTGTCTCCAGTTGTAATCATTAAGACCGTATTGTCCAGAATAATGTAGGTTTGTGACAGCAATTATGTATAAGTACAAACCCATCAAGAAGTCGGCACAGCTTAAGCTTATCGTCAGAAGATAGTATGTTCCGGCTTTACTGCTCCTGATATGACCAATGTTAAGCAACAGGACATTCAGGTTTCCGAACGCAGCCACCAACGCTATGTACCACACAGCAACGTTAAGTACCGGTACAGCTATCAAATGGTCACATGACGAAATCTCATTCAAGGGTGCGATACACTGTACAGCATACTTACTGTTGGTTATAGCACAGCAAATAGTATAAAAACTAACTCTCAAGATTCTTAAATTGAAAAGTCCTGTAAACATTCCTTCGAAAACCTGGAAATAATTGCCGTGCAAATACAACTCTTCAAGGTCCTTCAAAGGCAAGAAAGTTCCGTCAAAGATTTGAGAGATCTTATTATACGACAGGTCTAGTGTGGCGATGTGGATAGTCCGGCGAAATGCCCCTGCCTCTATAATTTCAATATGATTTCTGGACAGATTCAGAAAAATCAGGTTGGAGGAGAGAAGGTCCCCACTGTTGATAGCTGTTATATTGTTGTATGATAAATCAAGTATTCTCAAGTGGTCGTCACCATTCGGATCATAGTTTTCTAGCCTTCTTGCTGATCGAATATGGTTATTATTTAAATACAGGACTTCTAAACGAATGGTGAAGTGGGAGTAAAATGTCAGCTGATTGTGACTTAAGTCCAGAACCCATGTCCAAAGCGGGCGGACTTCCGTTAAAGCATTATGACTTAAGTTGACCATATCAGAAAAAAGAAAATAATTTGAAAAATTATAATCAAATTTTAGATGTCCAAAGGCATTTCCAGACATGTCTAATGTCATAGGAATTGAGTGTATAATCATTCTGGTAAATTGAATAGATGATTTGTCAGAAGAATTTAGAACGAAATGTGAAAAATCTTTAAATTTAAAGAACGATAAACGAGTGCTGTAGAGGTCAACTGTGAGAAATGATTGAAACGCCTTAACAACAAAAGACTCAATATGAATCTTATCAAAGATACTGTTATTTATCAGGATCCTGTGAATAAAATATGGATAATACGCTAGTATTTCTAAATTTGTTATTCTTGAATCATGAATTTCAAGCTTAAAAATTTGTCTGCTTTTGAGGGAAAGGCTGTTGTGGACATCATCAATCTTGAGTGTTTTGCATTCCACATTATGTAGTAGGATCCTGTCGGTATAACCAACTGATCCCAGTCTTTCACATAGAAAGCTTTCTCCTAAACAGTTACACCCTAGCGGACAGAAGGAATAACAGGCTCCAGATCTGTGAAGACTTATTTGATCGGTGTCTGAAGATATATCTGTTTCAGAATGATCCATGTCCGAAGAATGGATTATTTCAGAGGAATTTAAACATGTGATTCCATCGAATGAAGTTTTGTTTAAAAATGAAACAATGTCGGCATTATCGTTTCTATCATTACATTCACCACATATTGTCTTACTATCCAGAATTTGAAAATCAGTCTCTTCTTTCTTTATACAACATATGCTGACATTCTTTGCCGAAGTGTTGCCAATCAGCACACATTGTTCGTAGATGATAACACCTGTTGAGGTGTACTGAGGGCATAATATGGAAACGTTTATACACAAACCCGATGAAATATCACTTATGTTACAGATTAATGGACTTTGTGTACCATGAAATAAAGCACATTTTTTGACTGCGACTTCTGAGCATATATTTTCTAACTTTGAGTAACTGCTTTGTGAATTATTATGATCATTAGGTCGACTCTGGAGTAATGACGTCAAGTTGACCAAAGACGTTTCGTGATTAAGGCTCTGCGGTAAAAAACAAACTGTATTATTAACTGCATTTTCCGGAATGCAAGCAATGCAATCTACTCGCCAAGAATTGTTGCAACGTGAACAAATATCAGCAAGTGACGAATTTTGCAAACTTTTCTTTTGGTTCTGCTGTAAACATTTACCATTTAGCAATGTTGATACAAGGCAACAAGTGTTATCATCAGAGACATTCCCGCAATGCTTCACGGGACCTTCATCTTGTAGAGATTTGTTCTGAATGTCTCCATCAGTCTCTTCTTGGGAAATAACGGCATTTGTTTTGTGAATAGGCTTATTACTTCTGTTTACTCCGGAGGAATTGTAGTCTTCAAAAGGAAAGTGAAAAGAACATTTTACTAAGTCGTGGCTTTTTCAGTCATATTTTTAGTCTGCATAATTATGTATGGGAAGGTATAACAGTTTTCATCTCAAAGACAGTCATCGTTAAAATGATTGATTTTCTAGACCAGGAATATAGTCTGTTTATAAAACAGGAAGATTACAGTTCCTACTTACAGTTATTAGTTATTTATTACAGTTATTAGTTATTTATTACGGTTAGTTATTTATTACAGTTATTAGTTATTTATTACAGTTATAAGATTTATTTCTCGCAGTAATTATAGCTATTTCTAACAGCTATAACAGTTATCTCTTACAGTTATTAGACAGTAATTATAATTATTACACAGTTATTTCTTACATTTATTAGTTATTACAGTTATTTTACAGTTATCGGTTATATTACAGTTATTTCTTACTTACAACACATATATTCGTCATCACCGAAGGAACAATCAGTACGACCGTCACAGACTTTATCTGTATCCAGGCACTCATAGCTAGAACACTGGAATAGGTTCTTTGGACATGTATCTAAAATAAGCGATGAGCATAAATAAAAACCTTATATAATTTTTCTACACACTGAATATTTCCAGCATTTAATTATCACGAAAAGGAGCGCACGGCGGATTTGACCGGTCAGCAGGGGATAATCACTCCTCTATGGCACCTGATCCCACATCTGATGTTAAAGAAGTTAGTGTTTGCTCTGCTCCTTATTTATGCATTGCTAAATAGACTTTTGAGCTTGAATACATTTCGTCATTTCCTTATATCCCTTTATGTAAATATTATCAGTTATTAAGAAACTAGTTGCATATTATGTGAATAAACATTCCATTTTTTTTGAAATAACGGACATAGATTCATGTTTTTGACAATTATTCTGACGTAATATTGTTCGTAATATCATATATTCAAGTTACTACGTTGTAATAAATAAACCCTTTTTAGAATCTATCTAGGAAAAATAATTGTTAATATCAAAATAATTATATTTTGTCAAGTAAGCTTTGTATAACAGACATTAAGACTCACCAGGGCAGAGTCCGTCTCTGAGCTGAATATCAGACAGCAATACAAGACCTGGAGCTTCGTTCTCAAAAATGGCCCGAAAATACAACTGAAAAATCGAACAAAAGATACACAGTAATATAAGACCTAGAGCCTCGTTCTTAAAAATAGTCAGAAAATACATCTGAAAGATTGAACAAAACATATACAGTCAAGCAAGACCTGGACCTTCGATCTCAAAAATAGTCCGAAAATATAACTTAAAGATGAAACAAAAGATATAGAGTCATACAAAACCTACCTCGTTCTTTCTGAAAAATAGCCCAAAAATACAACTGAAAAAACGAATAAAAGATGCATAGTAATAGAAGACCTGGAGCTCCAGGTCTTCTATTACTATGCATCTTTTATTCGTTTTTTCAGTTGTATTTTTGGGCTATTTTTCAGAAAGAACGAGGTCCAAGGTTTTGTATGACTCTATATCTTTTGTTCTGAAAACATAGCCCGAAATTACATCTGAAAGATTGAACAAAAGATATACAGGTATACAAATGCTGGAGCCTCGATCTCAAAAATAGCCTTAAAATACAACTGAAAGATTGAACAAAATTAAGTTAAATGGCAAACTTAACCTCGATACATACTTCTGAAAAACACGCCGAAAACGTAACTGAAAGAGCAAACAAAAGGGAAGCAGAAATACAGATAAATGATTAAATATGAATTCAATTTTAAATCTAAAAAAATAGTCCCTTCAATGGAAATAAGAATCCTCATATAAAAGTCGTCGGGGATGTCACTCCATGGCTTCTGATCTCACCTTTGATGTTTTAAAGACTCGTGTTTGTTCCGCGCCCGATTTGTATTGTTTAATGCCTATAACTTCAGAACTTGAATACTGTTCGTTATCTTTATACATCTCATAATACAAACCCTGAATTCCCTCGCAAACGGCAGTTGGAGGAATCCATATCCTAAGCTGGCCATAGGAGTGGGTGGCGTAAACGTCCGAAGTGGAATATCTGCGTAGACGTTCCTCAAATCTTTAGAGTATGACACAAGGAAATGGGACCTGCCAGTCACTATAAATTTAAACTTCAAACACCGCGGCCATGAGGTGGCCCGGATCTTAGGTGAGTACAACAGGCGCGTGCTTATGTTATGATCGATGTAGGACGTAAGCGGCTCGTTATAGTTAGTGTTGTCACTATAGGCAAATTTCCTTCCCGTCAAATTCCAATCTGCAAAATAAATAGAATACATACAGGGAATAAATATTATTATCAGAATGATATAATTAATATTACTAGATCCTAATTCCTGTTTACCCATTCCAGTAGACATATCACAATTCTCCTTTCCTTGGCCTCTTTTATTTGCGTCATTTTTTTTACCAGGTCTTGAGTTTTCCTGGTATTTCTAGAATTTGATCATTTGTTTTTCCATCTTCTAATATGCATAGACTTGGATTTGTACGTATTTAATGGTGAAATATGTTGATCATGATTGTGCAAAATGCAAATTGAATAATTATTATTTTTTAATGTTTTATTTTATCTGATAATAAAAGCATACTAAAAACTGTACACCCGCATTCTATATCGTAATTTAGCATACAGGATTACATTCACATTCGGTGATTTACCTAGTGGTACATTGTATACGCAGTGATTGGTGATTTATCTGGCGGTATTTTATACAGTTGGTGATTGGTGATTTACCTGTTGATTTGTTATACAGTCTGTGATTGGTGATTTACCTGTTGTAGTGTTGACATGTTATACAGCTTGTGATTGGTGAGTTATACCTGATCATATGTTATACAGTCTGTAATTGGTGAATTATTTACCTGTTAATATGTTATACAGTCTGTGATTGGTTATTTACCTGGTGGTAGGTTGTAGAGACTGTTGTTTGAAATGACCCCTACTTTCCAGGGATTAGCGGGGTAAATTCTGTCTGTGTTGATGCAGTTGTTTATTCTTCCCCGAAAGCCACAGAGCTTAATCCATTTCCTGATGTGAACGTCTGATTTCCGTCGAGCACTCCAATTACAGAGATCTTCTTTAAAGGCACAATTCACTGTAAAAACAAAAAGTAGTGGTATATTACATTGCATAGAATATATCTATTGAAAAAAAAGGAAATGATTGGCAAGATCTGCATGTGACAAGATAAATTAAAAAAAATCATCCTTTAACCCTTTTCAATAAAGTGCAAAACTTATGACCATATTACGTATACGTCCTTCAAATTAGAAATTTTATAGACGTTCTGTTTGTCAGATTTCTACTCAACTATTTTTGTTTCTCCCACCCACAATCCCCCCGACCTCCCCTACTTTCATTATATTACTCTGTGCGAAAATCAACTACATTACACATAAAATCACCTATACAGAACCCATTTAGGACCTACACCATCCCTAACAAAATTGTTTGATTGTCTTCTCTCGACCGACTGGCTAAAATTTGCCCGACTCAAAACTTTTTTTTTTTTTTAAACTACAAGCTTTAAACTTTGAAGTGCTTTGAGAATTAGAAGTAAAAAAAAATAACACTGAAATTTAAATTTAAGAGAAAAAAAATTCTCACATACCTACCGACCCATTTTTTTAGACAATTTTCTAAAGGTGGCTCTATCAATATGATCAAGGATACTTTTGGATGATATAACAAATTGTTGAATTGTCTCCAGTTTTATCGAAAGGTTTGTTCGGATACCATGACCGTTGCATGAAATTCTTTTTCTTGATTTGTTTTGAATAATTAAGTGAGAGATCTACCTGGTGATTCCATTGTGTCAACAATCAGAAAGACACATGAATGAAGCAGTAAAAGGAACCGCTGCATTTCCGTCTGAAATAAATAAGAAGTAATCACATAAGGAGTCAAAGAAGACCATTGTTCTATCCCGCGACTCGCAATAATCACCGTTGGCCATGTTTGTTCGTAGTTTATTGTACCTTTTGAGATTTTTTTACTCGCATGCGGAGGCCACTACTTACTTTAGAATTTACTCGGCCTTCAAGAATTGAGGAATCTTTTTTCATGCCAGGAGCTACCAATGTGATTTATACGATATCAGCCAAAAGACCGGTATCCACGCATACGTTCCGCAGTGGGAGCCAAAACAGCGACCTAAGGATCAACTTCCTACTCAGCGACACTAGAACAACCGATCTAACCTCTGGTCAAGCGGGCGCGGTTTGCGTGTCGTAATTCAATATAAATCGGGGGATCAAAAATATAATAGGCATTTTTTAAAGGTAATTTACGAAACGTTTCTTAAAACCTTTGTTCAAAAGAAAGAATCTGACGGTCATTGAAAAAAAGTGTCATGGCGTTCTGAAATCCCATTTCAAGGAATTACGGTAGGACCATCTTTAATTAAAAGACTATTCGTTTGTCCCCTCCAGACTCAGGCTGAAATAAACTGGGTTGGTAGGTAGATTAGATTTTTTTTCTGAAGAAAACCTCAATAAACTAGTTCTGGGGGAAAAAGAATACAACAATATTGTTTCCTGCAGGTTAAAAAAGATTTAAGTGGGGCCATTTTAGCAAGCCGGTCGGGACACGGCAAACAAACATTTTGTAAGAGGGCCTAAACATTTATATTCTATAGACGTACTATTTTCCATGGGGCCATATTTCCGCGGAATCACTATTGCTCTCTAATCCGCTGCTAGTAAATTACGCGGATGTCTTAGACTCTAACTATAATCCTTACAAGTATTTTGAGTATGATGGGACAAATTTCCGTGGACAATTTGTGACCGCGTACAAAGCGTAAATAAATACCACGCGTAAAAAGTACTTCTGCAGTATCAAACATTCGGCAATATTATTAACATTCATGTTAAGGAGAAAAACATATTACGGAAAAATTTCAGGACATATCTCAAAATGATATGCTACGTAGCGTAGAACACCTCAAGCTTCTTAACTGTTAATGTGAAGTTCAAGTTAATGCGTGTTTAAAGACATTATCGTTAATATCTTCCTCGTTTATAAAAATTGAGAAGTTATTATTTTTATTAAAGCGTATACTTACAATATCAAACCGTTCCAGAATAAAATGTCTCTTTCATTCAAACATTTTATGTAATCTTCATGTAATCTTATACCAAAACATCTTTAATGCAACTCTCAAACGAAGCATTCGTTTTTTCGTCGTTTGTTAATTGTTTTTATGTGTTTTATTTTTCTCATGATCTCCACTGGAAAGTCAGTGTTTCAAATATCTCTTTGTTGAATGCATCCACACTTCCAGCTTATGCATTCGCACTTCCGGCTTTAATGAAAGTGCACGTATATGTTTTTTTGTTTTTTTCTACAAAGTAGTCCTGCACTCTTTCTGGTTTCTTTAATCATCTTATAAAGCTGCTAATTACAGCTTATATGCATCACGTAACTTCACAGATAAATGATTTAAAGGATTCTTTTTGCACCATGTGGCGTTAAATATCTGAATAAAGTATTAATTTGTGGTTAATTTAAAGTATTAATTTATAAATATTTTGACTGAGAATATCTAAGAATAAATTCTATAAAAGTCGTGTTCAATTAAAATAAAGACAAGGGGACAATTTATACGAAGCACATTGAAATAGTAAAGTCGCATCGCGAAAAAAAAAAAAAACTTTCATTTATTGATGGTTCCACACTAACAGTAGGCCGCTGGCCCGGGACAACTGAATATTGCGTTCGGGCACTAAACTTGCCCTGCAGGGCTGCTGTAATTTTTTTTAGTAAACTATCATTTAGAGCAACTAAAATAATTTTAACCAGAAGTCTCTGTCGAGACTGAAGCTCTACTGGTTTGAACTTATAGCAAAGGAAGAGAAGAGTACTTAAGCAGCTGGGATTTGAAACTTTACAACAGCAATATATAGAATAATGATCGTTGATAAAGTCTCTTTAATGTTTTGTGTGCCAAGTTATATTGAAATCAATGTTAGCATTTTGAAACAATTTTACAGACATTTCAATTTTTAGTAACCACAGCAACACAGTTCATCAAAATTAAAATTTGATACACAGAATTATGTATCTTAGTGTATTCTACTTGTGTGCCAAGTTATATTGAAATCAGACCAAAACTGTAGGAGCATTTTGAAACAATTTTACAGATATTTCTATTTTTAGTAACCACGGCAACACCGTTCATCGAAATCAAAAACCGATACACAGATTTATGTATCTTAGTGTATTCTACTTGTGTGCCAAATTATACTGAAATCAGACCAAAACTGTAGGAGGAGTAGCATTTTGAAAGAATTTCACAGAAATTTCTATTTTTAGTAACCACGGCAACACCGTTCATCGAAATCAAAAACCAATATGCAGAATTATGTATCTTAGTATATTCTACTTGTGTGCCAAGTTATACTGAAATCATAAAACTGTAGGAGGAGTAGCATTTTGTTTCACAGAAATTTCTATTTTTAGTAACCATGGCAACACCGTTTCATCAAAAACCGATATACAGAATTATGTTTTTTATTCTACTTGTGTGCCAAGTTATACTGAAATCAAAAAACTGTAGGAGGAGTAGCATTTTGAATTTCACAGAAATTTTATTTTTATATTTGAAATCAAAAACCGATACACAGAATTATGTATCTTAGTGTAGTCTACTTGTGTGCCAAGTTATACTGAAATCAGACTAAAACTGTAGGAGGAATTTTGAAAGAATTTCACAGAAATTTCTATTTTTATTCGTTCATCGAAATCAAAAACCGATACACAGAATTATGTATCTTAGTGTATTCTACTTGTGTGCCAAGTTATACTGAAATCAGACCAAAACTGTAGGAGGAGTAGCATTTTGAAAGAATTTCACAGAAATTTCTATTTTTAAACCACGGCAACACCGTTCATCGAAATCAAAAACCGATACACAGAATTATGTATCAAAGTGTATTACTTGTGTGCCAAGTTATAAAATCAGACCAAAACTATATGCATTTTGAAAAATTGTTTACAAAGGATTTATCGCATAAGCTCTTCTGGTCTCTGACCAGTAGAGCTAAAAATTACAAGTTCCAATTTTGTTGCAGTTTTTATAATGTTCTACAGCAGCCCGCGTTTCCCGATAATTTTTCTTTATCGCTGAACTTCGCTTGATACATCCACACGTCTTATAGTATGTATTAATCACATGATGTATTCTTAGAAATACAAAACATCACACGAAGTTAACTTCATGCATTTATTTGTAAAATGTGATAATTTCATTTATTAATTTTTTATCTGCTTAGAAATAAAGTGCATTAATATTTTAATATTTGTAGTTTTATCTCGGACAAAGACATTGGAAATGTAAATTATATTAATTGCATAAGTTGACTTGAAATAATGATGTCTTTCATTAAAAGTACGGAATTAATTAGGTGTATTTCATAAAGAATATATGCATCTTTAAAAGGATTTTTCTCAATAAATATTTTTAAACGTATTTATAATCAAATGATACTTTCTATCTGTTAATCAATAATATATTTATAAACTGTGAAAGTTTTAAATTTATAAACTACATAGTTCTAGAGCTATTGTAAAAATAAATTTTTGGACAAGTTGACCTTTGGTGACTTTTATTGGGATACACATTTCCGGTTTGGGATACAATTGAAGGATAAAACCAGAGACTTTGGATGGAATTCTTTTTTAAAACAATTCTTAAATACATGTATTTTATTGAAATATTAAAATGTTTTTTAAATAAGATAAAGATCCATAGCGCATTTGATAGTCACTTTCGCCTACTCTTGCAGTGATTTTTTAAATGCTACTAGTACATTGTTTAACCAAAATTTTGTCATATAATGTTAGGTTATACAACTGTACATGCCTTAATGCAAATCACACAAAAATAATACTTAAATATTATTAGTTCCCTCATATAATAGGTATAAAAATCGTTCAGTTTATATAGAATATAGTAAATACTGAGGTATTCCCCTAAACAATGACAAACTGTTGCAAAAGATCACCATTAACCAGAAAAACAACTTCTGAATAATTTTATTCGGATATGACTGCACTTCATTACATTTAGATATTTTTTTAAAGGTGGTCTTCATATTCAAAATGTTAAAAATATGTTTTAATTTTTCTTCTCAAAATTATTTTAAGATTCAACAATCTGTCTTGAATTTATTCATCCGATTACAGTTCAAGTCTCACAGAGCGTGTTTCTTATCTATGCTTCTATTTCTCTCTCTCTCTCTCTCTCTCTCTCTCTCTCTCTCTCTCTCTCTCTCTCTGTGCATTTTTCCTACGTTTTTTTTTTATTATTTTATGATACATGTATAAGTTATGCAAGAGATATATAATACAACATTCCATCTTGAAAGTATCTCGGGAAAAAACAGTCCTAAACTATTTTAATGACCCAAAGTCAAAGCTGCTAGCTTGTTTTATTTTTAAAATTTTCTACAAATCTTGTTTAGAATAAGAGCATTGAACAAGTAAAATGATTGTCATGTAACAAACTTGCAACTAAGAAAATATAACACTGGTCCACAAATGATTACATACATGTAGTTTGATCTTGAATTGATACAATAACCGATTTATGAGTATTAGTTAAACTTAATTAGAATTTTAAAAACGTCTTTTCTTTAAAAAAAAAATACAAATTTATTGCTAAAAAATCATTAGGAAAAACATCGTTAGTGTATAACTGAGCAAAAACGTATTTGAAAATAACAGGTGGATCGGGTGTCAAGGAGAAGTAAGCATCCCCTGTCGACGGTCACGTCCATTTTGTCATTTACCACAATCCGGTAAATATATTAACGTTCGATCCTGAGATTTTGAGCGTATTTTGGTCAGGTCCTTTATTTATAAGATTC